AGCTGCAATAGTATACTAGTATTTGCAGCTACTCGTAGATTTCCATAGCGCCCTCAGTATCGTCGAACATAATCTAGCTATGAAACAGCATCCTTCTATTATGGCCTATCTATTCACCCCCTTTGTACATCTGGCAAAGAACTCTCAATATCCACAAGATGCTTCATCACACCGATTACCCATTCCTGCGTTGCTGCTGATGGTGCTTTATACGGCTTTCGAGGGAGGAATGCTGCTTGGTCCGTCACTCCTGCGACTGGTCCGGCAAAATGTGCAGCGGCAAACTTGGTGGGCGCAATGCCTTCCTTGCAAGCCTTTTCGGCCTGTGATATCAACCCCTGCAATTTACTTGCTTCTTCCAGCTGCCCGGCCTCCCACAAAGAAAATAGCTTGGCAGTTGATTTCGGGAAAACGTTCGCAATTCCTGTCACACAGCCTGATCCGCCTCCGCTGAGACAAGGGATGAGCCAGTCAGATGAACCCGCATATACCCCAAACTGTTCGTGGGTATATTCTTGAGTTAACCGGGTAACCTTGCCAGCGTTACCACAAGTCAATTTTACCCCGACTATGTTGGGATGCTGCGCCAATGTGGACATGACATCCGAGTTCATATCCACGCCATTGCAGACAGCGGGAAACTATTTTCTCCTAGTTAAGCCCACATTCATGCATGCATTATGCGTGGAAAGAGACCTTACGCTGTATATGACAATTGGAAGAATGTTGCTGTCTGCTACTTCCGTGTAGAAGTCAAGGATGACGTCTCTTGTGACTGCTTTAGGCCAATAGCTGGGCGGCAGAAGTAGCCCAAAGTCTGCTCCTGCCTCACGAGCGTCCTCGGCCAGGCGAAGAGATTCGCTGGTTGATTGCCCACTAATCCCCGCCACCAGTGGAAAGTCATCAAACCCCAAATCCACAGCCGCCCGTCGAGCAGTTCTCAACAACTCCTTTCGCTCAATTGACGATAGCAGAACCGCCTCGGCATTCGTGCCAGCGAGTACGAGTCCGGCAATCCCACTTCGGATGAGATACGTGAAGGACTTGTAGGAAGCATCGTAGTCGATCTCCTGCCGCGGTGTCCCTTTGAACAAAGAAATTACTGGGCAATATATGCCCGGAGGCAACGGTTTGCTCTTGTGGGGAATTGCTGAGGTCATGGTTGTTATCTGGAATATTGTTCAATACTACAAACTACTAGTTACTGTCTTTATAACAAACCACTCGGGCTTCTCCCGACAAGGCCGGGATAAACATAACCGACAATGCGGGGTAACCAGGCTGAACGCCCAACAACCCTCAGAAACATCAGACAAATGAAATGTTTGCGACATCAAAAGCGCTACAATTCGACATGGGTAAGCGCAAGCGACAGGCATCCATAACGGAAGCCGACGGCCACAGGGAAGCAGTCGCTGGCTCCCTCACGCCAGCTTCGGCCAGCTCCCGACAGCAGCAAGGCACACTGGAATATCCCGGTCGGTCTGAGTCGCCTGCCCATCAAAATGCGGAGAGAAGCCCGCAACAACCCGCAGCAATTGCATCGCTGGTCAATGTCTTGCCCAGTATCACCCGAAAGGTCACTGCATGTGTGGCCTGTCGGAAAAACAAGGTGAAACTTCGGTGTCTAAGAGGTTACATCGCTCAATCTGATACCCACGCCCTAGACAAAATGTGATATGCCAGAAAATGGTCCACCTTGCGTTCGATGTCGCCGGCGATCGCTGTCTTGTGTACTAAATCGAAGTCTTCAATCTTTGGTTGAAGATACCAAGTCAGTTTCTCCCTCTTCCACCTCAAACTATGTAGTCTAAACTTGTATGCCCTACAGAAATGTCGAGCACCTGAGGACCGATGTACAGAATCTGCATCATACCATTGACACCATCTGCCAGACCTTAGACCTTCAACGCCCAAGGCCACTTCTAATAACAGCAAATGAGGGAAATGAGGAGGGAGCTATTACAGAAAGCATCGGGCCAGACCGTGAATGTGACGCTTGTCCAACAGAAGGATGCGAAGTATCCCCACCAGAGTCACCCACAGCGGTGCAGGCTCCTATTGATACCTTCCTCGACATCGCCAAACATGGAACTCCAAACGCCACGAAGATTCCACCAGGTGTCACTCGCACTACCGGCCGAGTGGATCTCATTAGTAAAGGCATCATCACAGTCGAAACAGCAGAAAAACTACTGCACCGCTACTTCTCCCGTCTAGATCACTTTCTCTATGGCATCTCTAATGAGAATCAGGATATAACCCATCTACGCAAGGAATCTCCAACACTGCTCGCTGCCATATGCACTGTCTCAGCCCTCCATGACCCCCATGACCAGGAAACCTACGAAGTGTGTAACCGCGAGTTTCGCTCCCAGGTTTCGCGGTCTCTGTTTGAGAAGCGTGACGTGGAATATCTACGAGCCTTATGTATTACCTCTTTTTGGCTTGCAGACGCTTCACGAATCTTGTCTAGTGATGGCATCCGTCGAGCAGCTGATATGCGTCTCCATCGCAGTTTCGACTCTCTTCTTGGCATTCATCCGCCCGAGTATTCCTCCCCATCGAACTCGTCACCAATAGTTGCAGCAGATCGCATTCGCCTATGGTATTTATTATTCGTCTGCGATCAACACCTCTCGATCCTCCACAACCGCGACTCGCTTCTGCGGAACGATAAGGATATTGCGGTGAGCTGGGAATCATACCTACATCGCGCAGAAGCAACTGAGTCAGACGTACGAATTCTGTCGCAGGTGTCGCTGCTTTTAATCATGGGCCAAGTTCGAGATGTCTTGGGGTCCGACAAGGAGATGCAGCTGCCATCGGCCCTTACTCATCAGATTACCAACTACTCGCGACAACTCGACAGGTGGTTTACCCGATTCTCTGCCCTCTTCGTCACGAATGCGCATATCGGGGAATTTCCAAGAAGAGGGTTGGAGCTGCACTATCAGTTTGGGAAACTGTACCTCGGTCATCAAGTGTTCAAGGGGCTCCGTGGCAATCCTATCCCCCTTCCTTTTCTATCCGCAGCCCAAATGGCTCATGAGGCGACCGTCACCATTTTTGAGATGATCCTAAACGATCCCCAGATGAGCGAGAACCTCGTCGGCATGCCACACTACTTCCATGTAATGATCGCATTTGCCGGCCACTTGTTACTGGAGATATGTCACAATCATCATGTGCAATTAAACATTGATCTACACGGCGAGCTTCACCTCATTAGTGCGGTTTTAGGCGTCTTTCGCAGGATAGAATGCATCACATATCACCCATTGCGCCGAATGGCGCCTGGGCTAACTCGGAAGCTCTCCGAGACGGTTACCTTGTTAGGACTGAATGGTCTGTCTGGAACTAGCCACACTGGCAACATCTTGCCTCCTGCGGTTCAACATGCAGAGATAGCTGATGGTGCAGGACACTCAGCCCAGGCCTTGGGCTCTATGAACAATATGTTTGTATTGGGTTCTACTGAGCCTCCCGTTGATGATTTTCTGTTCACCGATATGGGAGAATTTACCTTTCCCGATTTAGTGTCGAGTTTCATGCCGTAGATATGTCAGGCTGGGAAGTTGATGTTCAGAGTTGTTTGCGATGATATTTGTAGTATCCGATATTTTCTTACTACTACTTAACCACAATTTGTATCAGCACATAGTAACCATAGTGTCCTACTTCTATCTCATTCCTACAACGCGCACAGACTACAAACCCCCCTGCTTCGGACGTAATTATATAGCCTCCACAGGGAGAGGCCTATACTCTTCCTCAAGTAGCCTAACCTCCTCATCAGATAGTTCAACACGCAAAGCCTCTCCCGCCGACTCAATTCTCTCCATACTATTCAAACCCACAATCGGACACGCGCCCTTCTTCAACAACCACGCAATAGCAACAGCACTCATACTGCACCCTTTCACCTTTGCCAACTGCTCCACCCGCGAAACAATAACCTCATTCTGCTCCCCAGAGAACCACTTAACCGTCTTTTTATCCTGACTCGACCGATACGTCTGCGCATTCCATGGCCTAGCCAACAACCCACGAGCCAAAGGACTCCAAGGAATCAGCCCAATCCCCTCGGCCCTACAGAATGAATTAACCTCCCGCTCCTCCTCCCGATAAAGCAAGTTCCACAATCCCTGCATACTCGTAAACGTCGTCCAATTATTCATCTTCGCCGTGTACTGCAACCGCGCCAACTGCCAACAATACATGCTCGACGCACCCAGATAATGAACTTCCCCCATTCGGACAAGATCATGCAGCGCACACATAACTTCCTCTGGCTCTGTATCGTCCAGCCGATGTAGCTGTAAAACATCAATATACGTCGTATTCAGGCGCGCAAGTGACCCTTCCACCGCGTCGAAGATATGTTTTCGACTCAGACCCATCTGATTCACCAGCTCACCGTCATTGATGGCAGGATTGGGTCGCGATGGAGAATCCGGGTCGAAGACTGGATAATATAGCTTGGTCATGATCACGACCCTGCTTCGTGGGATGTTGTATTTCGCTAAGGCCTTAGCGATTACAATCTCTGATGTCCCGTTAGAGTAGGAGTTCGCTGTGTCCCAGGTGTTGATTCCGCTGTCATAGGCTTTCTTGAGTAATGGGAGGGCTTCGTCTTCCGGAAGTACCCAGGGACTGCCTTCCCAGGCGGGATTGCCAAAGGTCATGCATCCGAGGATGATTTTGGAGGTTTTGAGGCCGCTTTTGCCGAGGCGTTGGTATTCCATTTTGTGATTATGTGAATGTTACTGCTGTGGATACTGTGGTTATGGACTGTGTGCAATGGTAGTAGCTGTGGCTCTCCATGATGTTTAAATTGTTTTGGTCTTGATCATCATCAATGTCAGGGGGAGACCGGCGAAGATTCGTTGAGAGGTCGGAAAGATTCCCGGTGGGCGGGGGAATCTGTACTACTTTCGGGGTTTTCTCCGCAATGAACATTTTGGCTTGGGTTTCTACTATCCCAGTCTGGTCTGTTATTTTAATCATCAATATTTATTGATAGATCAGTTTAGAAGGGTAATTCCACATTACCTTCTATGGCAAAGATTAACACATGGTTGATAAACTCTATTTACAAATGCTCTTCGTGTTTCTTGGAACGATGGGCTTCCCAAAGCCCTCACACATTGGCTTATCATGTCAAAAGGGAGCAAGCCCAGTGGCATATGAATGGGTTATTCCACGATTCATTTTCTCTTCAAATTGATATTTATTGAGATGGGAGCCCCGGTGAAGAGATTTAACTCGGCAATGATGGACTCTTTTCCAGGTTTGTGGCAGCATATTCAGTTGTTGTACTAGCCTATTCACAGTAACTGATACTTCCCACCCCGAGCCCACCTTCGGGTAACACTAATGTGTTGTTCCACAATGTGCTTATTCTCTGGTGAGCATTCAATCCTGATTACTGAGCCCCTGAACCTCCCAGCCCCTCATTCTTAGAGCAATGCTGGATTATTTATCCATTTCATAAACCCTTCTTGAACACATTGTCCAAGCTAATATATCTTTGCATCAGCCAAAGACTGTTCTGACAGAAGCCATCACGAAAACATGGCTTCACGCCTTCATATTCCATTTGGTCAGTCTAATAAGGAACAGGTCAGTCACCATGAAATGCGCGCCGATGTGATAGAAAAAACCAGTGGCATCTTCGCAGCAGTTGCACACCATGAAGCCGCATGGATTGAGCCTGATATTCAGGATGATCTCCGTGTTATATGTGAGGATCTGCACATCTCAAAAGCTGGAACTTATCGGGATAAGCTCTCGCCAGTCTTCTTTAATCCTCTTGGAACGCATAATATCCCCAGACTTGATCTTACCGATGCTCAAACCCAAGAATCCATCAACGACATCACCGAAGATTGGGACAGCCCCCCTCCGTGGCCACGGACAGTAACTGATCAGCTTTACGAGTTAATTTACGCCATTGAATACTACTTCAGGGAAGGCAGTCGCATTTATGAATTAGAGTATGGGTGGTCTAATACGTTGTCACACTACGCAAAGTGGGTCGAATGGTAAGCCTTTCCTCCCTGGGGACACCTTGAGCCTGTACACCTATAAGCAAAGAAAGCAATCCTGAGCTGACAAACATTACATGAAGTGGGGGAATTACCCCGCAGCTCATCGCCGAAGAATTTGATCGTCCAATTTGGGGATCGCGTGGATCAACACCATATCTCGGTTATGTAGCAAGGAACCAGCTCAACATGCCCCACACCCTGCTCGCAACGCTAACACGGTCAGAGGCGAATGAGAAGCTTTCGAGGTCAGAGGCTTTGACCATCTTGACGGTTATGTTAACTAGGCTGAAGAGTGACGATTTTCCCAACCACAATGTCATACCTGTAAGTAGCATTCAGCGTCAGCCTTATAGCTGCTCTTCTTTGAAAGGCTCACCCATCTTACTCAAAACCAGATAATGTTGATAAGTGTCTTCGCCGGATTCCAGGTCAGGGTTCTAGAAGCCCACTACGATTTCCGGGGACTCGTCATTCGAAAGTCTAAATTCCTAAGCTTCGCGAACCGCGACGCGGCGATTCCGAACATGGATATCTTGATGAGTTTTATGTGTTCCGAAGTGATCGGGAACACAAGGGATTTGAGAATCCTGACCAAAGTGGACCCCCAGATACCATTGCAGTGATATGTGTGGCAAACTAACTGTTCAACTACAGCCGGAAACCCAAGTCCCCCAATCCCTGGGCGATGGTTGTAGTCTGGATGACAGAGCTGTATTGGGATCAAGGAGGTTGGCTTCCCTGTTGCGGGTCTCGTGCGCCGTCGAGACCTCGCACACCGGACTTTCCAAGCCCCTCTGACGCCTGATCAGAAGGGACTCTGGTGTGCGAAGAGAGTAGGACAGGGTGACTTTTATCGGCTTTGACGTTTTGCCAACCTCTCAAAATTCTTGTAGCGGGAGAGACTGAGCCCTGTGAGATTGATCAGGGATTCCAATTTACTTAGAACAAGCTGAATGAGCTAAGCCCAGGATGTGGCTGCCTGCCTTCTTTTCTCTTATAAGACTACCCTGCACACTGTATCCAAGAGTTGTAGTGAAGGCGATGCGCCGGTCCTTCGACTCTCCTCCGGTATGACGCTTAGCGGTTCCCCTTCGTTATAAGGGGGCTTATCGCCCTGATAGCAGCGACCTTTTGCTAAAGTCGAATAAACCTCCTATGTCCTCTGTAATCGGCGAAGGGACAGCTTGTAATGATAAAGGGGACTTATGGTGAAGGGCACCGGATCACCTACTTCTCCGCATTTGGCAATTCCGAATGATATTCACTGCCTGCCTAGCTCGGCTGTAAACACACAACACCGAATTCAATTAGTGTAGGCGGGGTCTACCTAACACAGGGAATGTTTTTTCCCCTTCTAACAATCTCTCAATACTACTCGCTCCCCTTCTGCGTCTTGCTGATTTTCTTTACATTTCTTCCTTTACCTGGCAAGTACATTAGCGAAACTGCCGAAGCGCGCAATAAAGACCAGTCCAACCAAGCAAGAAAAGGCACCCCGGAAAAAATCCCCACAGACGCTGGACAAGGTGGAGGATTTCGAGATACCGACATCTGCACGCAATTGGCATGCGATTGTGCAGAAAGGAGGTCTACGCCATCGTGGAAGCTAAGAAGGGTGTGCGAGCCAGAAAGAACCGCACTATCATCACCCAAGAAGCCTGTGAGATTGTCGGGTGGCTTATGAAGCACCCACAGTCCAGCATCTTCAATGATCAGTAAGTAGGCTCCAAGAGCAGGCTTTTTTCGAACAAGTCAATAACTCTGGCTTTCGCGCAGCTTTCTTCTTGCCTCGCAAGACCGTCATCAGATCTTTCTCACCTTTGCGAGGTTCCGCCACAAGCTATTTGAGTACTACAAGGATGGAGCTTACACTGATAAGTTTCTGTCCCTGGAGACATTTGGGCCTTTGGACGCCGAAAATCCCCTTCATCTCGTCCATCTGGCAAAGGTCATAATATCCGCTATTCTGATTGCAAAGGCGGCCCTACATGTGTAACTTGTCTTTTCTCATCCAAATACCCTCGATCTATTTTGTTGAATCTCAAGTTACAAAGACGTCCCAGGGACCATTTCGTCTATCTATTCAACTTGGTCAAACAGCAAGCCGGCAACGGTGTCTGTCCGAATAAAGCCTAGTCGAATCAATCTACCAGTTTGCCTCTGTTCATCTTTGACGACCATCGGCACACGTCATGCACTGACAGGTCCAGCTTAAAGTCTTAGATTAGGCATAAAGTACTTTTCAAAATGGTTGGAAGCAATAAGCTCTCATATATCGCATTTGGGGTTAATCGAGTGTTATGACAGGGGTTTACATGCTAGCGAGTCAAATGGCATTCCAAGCTGAAGTTCCGTATCGCATATTGAAGCGCTAGTTCGCAAAAAATAAGTTCTGGGCCTGCTAGGTTAAATTGCATTTGCCAAATTGCATTGATGCATTGAATGAAGTTGCCCACATGGTGATTAGTGAATGACTTCCGTAGTCTGCTACTTCTCACCTTCTGAAAAGGTAGAACGGGGGCAAAATCCTTTGCCATATCTATCATCACTTCGATGAGTTTTGCTTTAGCCATTCTTCTTGTTGATAATTACACCACTGCCCCTCCTCCATAATGTTTGCTACGATCTTAAAAGGCCTCGCTGTAATCATACTGTTACTGATTATACATCACGTTTCCATCCACTTCTTTCGGCACAAAACAACCATATTCAATACACATAAGCAGTGTCGCTTGATAATCGCTGCAGATGGTCAGTTCATTAACAAAAGAAATCTATTGTCACCCTACGAGTCTCGCGCACTCTCCAATTCTAGATTCAAAACAGCGTTTTGCATTCGAAATGCGTTCACGAGCTCCGACAAAGACTTTGTGACCCAGCACCTGAAGGACATCAAGGTGCTTATAAATCTCACTCCTCTGAATTGGAACCATCTGTCCCAGTCTATCCAAGAGTCAGCACGCTACTGGGTCGACTCACCAGAGGGTACAATCCACTTGGCCAGTATTACTCAGACTCTTACTTTGAGGTTGGTGCTGGTAGGGATATTCAAACTAGAACCTAGGATTCCACCTTCTGCAGACCTCTTCTTCGCCGACTTTGCACGGTGCATCAATGAATCCTGGATCATAACTAAAGGGCCCGATACCCTTTCATTTCAAGACAATGAACAGCTACGGGACTGCGTCACTGCTTTCTTTCCTTCATCTGATCAGTTTCAGCCCGACGAAAATCCGCTAAATGTGATCCTTCCGGGCTATGAGACAAGCTGGAGGGTGGCGCTCCGCATGTTTCTCGAGATTAGGCGTGCCCAGAACGAAGTTTGGGTTGATAAGATGGTGAGCTTTGCACTGCATCCTACGAAGGTGCAGTTCCAGGACGACGGCGGCGGCGGCATTTCTGTCGAAGCAATGGTACTCGAGGCTCTTCGTCTGTATCCACCTACCCGACGCATCCGCCGAACATTCCGCTTCGATGATGGCAGAAATGGAGCAGTTGATGAGACCTTTGCAGCAGATATCGAAGCCTGTCATCTGGACAAGAGTATCTGGGGAACAGACGCCCTGGAATATAAGCCTTCGCGATTTTCTACATTGACCGAGGAACAGAAGGAAGCTTACATGCCCTTTGGCATCTCCCCGTTTTTATGTCCTGCAAAGCCTGTCTTCGGGCCCAGGATGGTAGGGATGGTTGTTGGGATTCTTTTCCTCGCTTTGCAGGAGGTAGGAAGCTGGAGGCTTGTTGGCAGGGATAAGCACTCTGCTAATGACTATGTGTCTGGCGAGCGATTGAACAATGACCGCAGTGCATTTGATGATTTGTTTTTGTATCTCAACGAGGGGATGGATGGCTGACTGGTTTCGAAATCTTTGCCTCGTTTTGTCTTGATCATGTGTACATTTAGTTTTGCTGGGCCGATTTTACTGATTTTAGGGAGATGGGATATTCTTCTCGCTGGAGTTGAAGTTGGGAATTTTGTGTCTACGCTATGTCATTTCCCCTCTCTTCCTTTGTTTCGGGCTGTTGCTTTAGATGGTGTCTACCGGTTGAATCCTAGCCCGATAACCGTCTTGGTACAAATGCAATGTCTTTGCTCGAGACGGCCTTCAATAACTATTCCAAAACTTGGTCAAGGTTATTTCCGGGGAAGCAATCCGTCTGTCCATTCACCCAGGTTCATGTCCAAGCCAGTTAACGCGGAAAGAAACCAACCCAGTCCTCGACCATGAATCCGAGACCCAATCCACTCCCTTCATTTCCATCTCATACATTCACAGTCGACCACAAAGTTAATCCACTCTAAATGGAACTATAAATAACAGCCTCCATCAGAGCACCGCCTCCACAACCTGCCCACCGCCACTATTCGTAGTGATATACAACTTCTTCCTCATCCCCTCCTTTTCAACAACATGCACCGAAGTGGGCCCACGAACCACCTTTGTAAACAACACCTCAACATCACCATCAGGACTAATTGTGCCGATCGCACTCCCATTCGGACCTCCCATAGCCACATAGACTGTTCCCTCCTCATCAAAATCAAAGTCATCCCACTGATATTCCTCCAACCCGGAGTTCAACGTAGCAAGAACCTCCGCTTCAACCTTGCCATTTTTCCCAGGCACTGCAATACCATCATCGGTAATCTTTACTCTTCCAAAGGTCTTCAGTGCAGTATTAGTATAGTACGCATATTCCCCGTGCGTCTTCAATCCATTGATCCCGATCTCTGATGATCCATTCGCCGGAGCTGACAATGCATCGCTTTCGATAACGATGTCCGAGGTTCCGGTCAGCGTGTCGATGCGGAATATACATCCTACACGGGAATCCGCTGCTAAGACAGTGGTGGGATGGCGTGGGAGGGAAGCGAGACCATTTAGCATGATAGCCTGCGGAAGATGCGCCACTGCTTTGGTGACCGGGGAAGCAGTGATGTTGGCGGCGTAGGCCCCAAAGTCGATGGTGTAGATAGTTTCATTGTAGTAGTGATAGGAGCCACGAACACCACCGGTGATGGCGTACTTGCCGTGGCCGATGGGGGCTATACCGGTGATGGCGGTGGCGTTGGGGTAGAAGGAGGTCAAGAGGTTGGCGGTGGGGTGGGGGTCATTGAGGTCGAGGGCGTAGAGACGGGCGTCGGTGAAAGTGGTAATGAGCATAGTGTTGGTGACAGGGTCGATGGCGCCATTTTCAATGTCGGTGGAGGTGGTGAAATTGAAGAGTTGGGTGACGGATATGGGTGATGTTGGTTGGGAGAGGGTAGGTGAGAGGGTCAGAAACGTTAGAAACAGTGTGGAAAGATGCATTGTGAGGAGTCTGTGATTTGGAAATAAAGATTTCGGGGGAGGGGGTGCATTTTGGTTGCGAGAGGGGCACTATATATGCCGGAGCGGTGTTGATGATCGTCATTTCGTGCTGTCTTCTCATTGATGGACCTTGTTTACTATTTGCTTTGAATGTGGTCCTCGGGCAAAATAGCTAATTTCGGTTAGTTTGGAGGCGGGATGTTAGCAGGTACGCGGTGGATCTTATCTGATCGGATGGAGTCTGGGGAAGTTGACTGGCTCGGTCTTGTCATTGATTGTCAACGGTTGATTAAGGATCGACATTGGTTATTCCCCGGTTCACGGAGCGACATAAGTCTCATTGGTTGTAGAAACCATCTGTTGTTCTTCATTCATGATATAAATTTAGTGCAACAAATAACAAAAACAGAGTTGAGACAATAACCATACAACACAGTTACAAAAAGGTTAGTAGTATTGACTACTGTTATGGATCACCTCGCACCCCTCTCTAACACCACTTCGGGCCTCTACGTAAAGCTTCTCATGATGAAGACTGATGTGTCAGCTGTTACTAATATAATTCAGCTATGCTGTACGTTTATATATCATGTCCTCGAATAACCATCGAGAAATATTTTCTTTCTTGGCTCAAGGCTAGTAGTCATGTCAAAATTTCTGATGGCTTCCTAACAAGATGGCTCAACTCAGGAGTCCGCTGGTCAAGTCTTGGACATTCAATGGATTTCTACTGGAAGTACACAGGGTCTTTCATCCGAAGTACTGAGAACATAACAATTGTCATTACTTCATTTACAGGCAAGACCCTGTTTCACAGTCTCCGACAACCCACCATAGGGCCCATGGTGCCCACTTCAGGCCGGAATATCCGGCATAGGCCCCTTGTGATCCGGAAAATCGGTGCTACGGGCAACCTCCTCCCATTCCTCCGCAATGCGCATCATATCCCGCGCCTTCTCCTTAAGGAACCCAAGAGAATCACTACCAAATGGCACACGCAAGGGGATTTCTTTGCCTTCTGCAATACCCTCTCCCTTTGCAATCTGGATGACCTTGGCAATCAAATCCACCGCATTGCCTGGTGGGTTGCGGTAGTTACCCTCTCCGCGCACGCGACACGCGTCGTTAAGACCCCGGTAGAAATCGACTCGATACGGAACATGGTTGATGTTTCTCATGACTTCAGTGCTGAAAATGCCTGCTTCAATAATGAGAGGCTTGATACCCGGTGCCAGCCAGCCTAGCTCTTTCGAGAGACTTTCCACGGCTCCTGTAGCGGTTAAGAGTCACACCGTCAGCTTCATCGTGAACGTTCAGATGGTATACCGGGGGCATTTACCTTCCAATGCAAATTTACTGGCGCAGTATGCGGATGCAGCAGGCTCTCCCCAGAAGCCAGACTGTGATCCCATGTAGATGATCATACCTTGACCTTTTTCGCCCTTGCTGCGGAAATGCGGCAATGCGGCGCGGGTCAGGTTGATAGGACCATGGAAATTCGTGTCGAGGGATCTTTTCATATCCTCCGGTCTAAAGGCTCAGTCAGTCAAATGTAGCCTTCCAAATTGAATTGGTCAAACAAAGGACATGGAGTCCTCAGGCCAACACTCACGTGAGCTCCTCGATGGCCCCGCATTGGATGTACCCCGCGTTGTTCACAAGTACATCTACTCCCCCATAAATGTCAATGGCCTGTTGGAACTTCGCGTTCAACTCTTCTTGGGGTGCCGTGACATCGAGTTCAAGAATAGTGGCACCAGTATCTTTCAAGTGCGCGAGCTTGGTTTCAGCATTCCGCCCTGTCGCGATGACGTTGTCACCCCGTGCGCGGAGCTGGCGTACAAACTGCTCCCCGAAGCCACTGGAGCAGCCAGTGATAAACCAGGTTTGTTGTTCTTTTGTCATCTTTGCAAGTAACTGATGCTGACTCTACAGGTTTGGGGTCCTTATTATTTGCCTGTGCACAAGGGAATAAGAAGTGAGGATCGCTCGAATGATTTAGACAATCTGGGAGGCGCCAGGACCTGCCAGGGGGCTTGCCGTCTTTAAGTCTAGTGAATCCGAGTAAGGCTGGGGAATGAGGGGCTTATTGAGTTTTAGTCTGTCAGACACGCAGGCACATTCCGACAGGACCCGCTTACAGTGTCACACTATAGCGGTAGCAGTGTTACCTTGCATGGTAGGCAGCAAGCAGCCCCCAGTCATTTTTACTATTGGAGCTACTGCAAGGATTAGTGCTGACAGCCCAACTATTCAGGAAGGTTTAGGGATGATCTTGCAAAATTGAGTTTCGTAAAAATTCGATGTAATCTAACGACAATATACTAAATGGCGGATGACAGGTGTTCTTAGTTCCCTTGCCCCTTCTGCACATATTGACTCTTGCCAGCCGCTTGCTGACCCAACTCCCTGATGCTACAGTCTGCCAGGATATTGAAGACCGAGAGCTCTGCCTTCATTTCATTGGCGAACCAGAACCGCAGCTCGACGGCCACCAGAGAGTCCACACCGAAGGAATGAGCAGGCCTATTGATATCAACATCCTCCTCCGGTACCGAGAGGGCTTGAGAGAGTCTCTGCGCGAGAGCTGTGGCGATAATGGCTCCTGCTTCTTCTACATTGCCAGCAGCCCCGAGAAGGGCTCCATAGTCTACGGCCTGAGCAGAGGTAGGGGCGGACGCAGTCGTGCTTTGGTCCATCCGGTGCAGATGTCGGTACAAGGTCCGCTTCATGTAAGGCAGCAGTTCTTTGCCTTGCTGAATCATGGCCATAGGCCGGTTCAGGGCCGTGAGGACCTGAGTCTCCCATCCTGATGACACATTCAGGCGAGGATTACAAGCCCAGTCCACAACACTGTGAAGCTCTTTCTCGGACAGGGCGTCGAAACCGGCGTTGACCCACCGCTCGGATACGTCCTTTTGTTCCGCCACGTAGCCGACGGACGTGAGTAAACCGACATCAATGGATATGCATTTCTGGCCGCGTGCCCATCTATGGCGAGCAAATGCATCCTGGAACGTTGCGGCGGCATTATACTGAGACTGGCCTCTCGACCCAATCATGCCACCCAGGGAAGACAAGATGACAAAAAAGTCCATGTCAGCTGGAAGATGGTGATGGAGGTTCCAAGTTCCAGCGACCTTGGGGTCGAGCACTGCCTGCCATTCTGCCAGAGACATGTTGTCAAACAATCGGTCCTGTAAAGTGTCAGCTGGTTGCTCAAGCAACACCAAACAGGCTAAGTTAGCATACCTTAAGTACCATAGAGGCCTGGATCACTCCCTTGACTGGAGGCATTGTCTGTTTGCAATCACCGATTGCGCTCGCCAGAGACTCGGAGTTGCTAACATCACACTGGGGAGTAGCCACATTGACACCTCGTTCTGTAAGCTCTTTGACTAGCTTAATGGCATCATCAGTAACTGCGCCCGAGCGGGACAGTAAGATCAAATGCTTGACTCCTCGAGTGGTAAGCCACCTTGATAGACTCCGGCCGATACCGCCCAGACCACCAGCAATCAGATAACTGGCTCCAGAGTCGAAGACATATTCCGGGTCGTTACTGGGCACCACCGAGACCTCCGCCTCTTCCTCCCAGTCGATCACTGCCTTGCCCATATGACGGCCAGTTTGAAGGTAACGGAAGGCCGACTCAAATTCCCCGCGTGAGAACTTTGTCACCGGCTGAGGAGGACCCAACTTATTTGCAAAGAGCAGCTCATGTAGCTCATCCATCAGTTGCTTAATAACAGCCGGATGATTCTTGTATACCGTTTGGAGGTCCAGTGAAGAGAAAGTGACGTTCTTAGAGAACTGGTACATGGCAAGCTTCTGGAAAGAGTAGATGTCTCGCTTTCCAATCTCAACGAACCGTCCCAGAGGCGCGACACATCTCCAAGTCTCAGCGAGTGCCTCGCCTGAGCTTGAGTTGAGGACAACATCGACACCGCGACCGTTGGTTGCGCGCAGTATCTGCTTGCCGAATGCCAACTTTCGGCTCGAGAAGAAACGATCGCCAGGGATTCCATAACGCTCTTGCAGAAGATTCTTTTTGACTGTAGAACTGACTGTCACAAACACATCGACACCGATATTCTGTGCCAACTGGATGGCAGCCTGACCGACAGCGCCCGCGGCTGCATGTATAAGTACAGACTCGCCTTTACGAAGGCGGCCCAGGTGGGTGATGCCGTACAGCGCTGTCAGCCATACCGCTGGGAAGGCATCGGTGAACGCTATATGATCAGGAATAGGGATGGTGGTGTGGACTTTGTTCCGGACAAACGTCTTAAACGCCCCAGAGGCCATGCCGCAGACGCGATCACCAGGCGCCAGATGTTTCACTGCAGAACCAACTCGCCGGACAACGCCCCCATATTCATGTCCTATGTAAGAGTCGGTGATCTGCCCAAGTACACACATCACGTCGGCAAAGTTGACTCCCGTGGCCTTGACTGTCACTTCCACCTCGTCTTCTGCTAGCGGCTTACTTGGAGTCTCATCCCTGGCGTACCGGAAACTGCCAAGCTGCCCAGGAGAAAATTGTATTTCCAGAGCTTCAGTTGGCTCCCTGCCAAGCTGCCTTCTCTCGATGTCTCGGTTGCCAGTCTGGGAGTAGACATAATCATTGATATCATTGGCTTCTACCACGCGGGGAATGAGTGCCATGTCGTTGGTCTCGCAATAATCGCCCTCCCAGTTCTCAACCCCGGACGCGCCACATGAGCGCTGAAGGACACTGCAAATAGTCTTGCCGGCAGAGGCTATGTCCTGGATGTTCAAATTAGCCCAATAAAGGCCAGGCTTCTCCAGCATTGCAGCTCGACTAAAACCGGAAGTCATTGCATTTTCTGGTAGTGCAGCGTTAACATCAGCACCGGATGTTATCCAGTAGATATGACTTGAAAAGTCTACAAGTCTCTTGAAGCGAGCAAAGTCCTTCCCACTCATTGCCGCTAGGAACGGTCGTCCCAGGTCAAGAAGTGAGAGACAAACATTCGACTGTGAAGTTTGCTCGGGGATAGCATCAGGCGTGAGGATGTCACATTGCTTCCCCCACGTCGAGGAGAAGTAGGAAGCAATATCTTCGGCAACCTTGAGTTGAAACTCGGTATCGGCAGCAATAAAAAGCGAATCCGGTAGTTCAACCCGGCTCGGTTCCTCATGAGATGCTCGAGAGAGGAGGAAGCTGAGTGTATGGTTCTCGACATCTGGGAAGTCGGTGATTGCCATTTCCACACCAGTGTATCCGGTCTGTCTCAGATAGTGATCCCATTCGTCCCGAGAATACAATGGGCACCACTTCCGGTCCTCTTCGGTTGATCTCCACCATCCTGGAAGTGTTCCCCAGATGCCATTGAGCACGGTGTCATGCTTGTTTGTTGGCTCCATGAGAATGATGTAGCCGCCTGGTTTCAATAAGGAGCGGGCATGACGTAGAGTATCACTGACACATTGGGTGGCATGCAGCACAGTGGCAGCAATTACAACATCGTATTCCCCCGGTGTGAAACCCTGCTCAGCTGGATCGCGCTCGATATCCAATGTCTGGAAAATCATGCGATCAACATGGTCGGAGAATTTAACCTTGGCCTTTTCAAAGAACCCAGGAGAAATATCGGTGAAGGTGTAGGATTGGTATCGAGGAGTCACGCCTTTATCGCTACCCTGTTTTCCCAAGGCCGACAGGATTTGCTGGGTACCGCTTCCAGTACCAGCACCGATCTCAAGGATATCAAGCTTGGAGTTCTTGTGCGCAAGGAGATCCATGAAGACCGCCATCCGCTTGGCGGTAGTCACGAAAATCTCGTCCTTGTACAGGTCCTTCGCCAAGCCTTGATTGAAGAGGAGGTCTAACGGATCCACTTCTTCGCGGACAATTGCGGCAAGGTGCTTGCAGAACGAATTAACCGCGCCCTCAACCGGGCCTGTCGCTGCGAACTCCTCCAAATATTTCTCGCGACGACTCTCGTCGGCTAAAGTATCTTTCCATGGTGTTTGGAGAAGAGGATTGCTGTCCCCCAAAAGGTCGAAATGATATCGCACCCAGGCCAAGTACCTTTGGAAGTATGAGGAAGAAGTCTCGTAGCCTTGAGCGTCCAGCTCCTTCAACATTTCCGACATGTAGTGCAGAGTCACCACATTCTTAGAAGGCTTCCATTGAACGGGCATTGTCTCTTTGTCTAAGCAGTAAGCCTCCGTCTGTGAGCTGCTAATAAGGTCAACATCAGGCTTCCAATCGAGCCTGTAAAAGATGTTGCGTTTCTCGGATGGCTTATAGCTAAGGCTAGACACGGTTGTCACCCGATAGCCCTCAATCACAATGGCTGGTTCTCCCGTATCTGAATTGATGGCAAGAATGAACGAGTCAGTTTCTCGGGCTGCTTGTAGCGTGGTCTGCGCCAGAACATTCAGTTTTGTGGATGGTTTGCGCTCAATCAAATCATGCGAGATCCAGAAATCTCGCAGTTGAGTCGGTGCCTGCAATGGGCCAAGTTCTGTTCCACCTTTGGTGGTCGCCACAGCCGTAACTTGGAACACCCCGTCCAAGGCTGTGGGGTGGATGATATGCGGCTGGACTTGAGAGTTCTTCTCGGGAACTTTACCTCTCCACTCATCAGGCTCAACGACGGCCACAGCTTGGTCCCCTTCCGGATCGTAGGCTAGGTCGTGAAGAGTATTGAACAGGGGACCAAAGCCATACCCAATCTTATGACCAGCATCATAGAAGACCTGCTGAGTACTCGTCGCTGAGCAACGGTTGACTGCTTGTTGGTACATCGACTGGTAATGGTTCTTGGTTAAGCTTCGCTCGTCGCCTCCATACACCTCATCGGGCGTCTCTTCGTATTCCGTGACGACAGAGCCAGCGCAGACCTCCCGCCATTCATTGTCCGAGTACACATATACGTTGAACTCTCTGCATTCGACTGTCTGGACACCAGTGGTCCGACTGTTCTCTGCATTACGTAGGAAGATCTGGCTTTCTACCCCTTCAGGGGTCTCAGGGACGACTAAGGCAGAGAAGATCCTTACGTCTCGCAGGCGGTATCCTCTAACTGCATGACCAGGCTTGACAAGATGCCTAGCAGCCTCAATAGCCATGACTGCCATTCCTGCGGCAGGGTAGACCGGGGATCCATTCAACTAAATTTAGGTTAGTAGATTGACCTCTACAGATAGCTATAAGTTGGAACTCACCCGATGGTCTGTCAGCCATGGTAGGTCGGATACTCGAATGGTGAAGCGGAACTTAGGCTCGAGCGGATTCCAGTCGTTTGTGGGAATGCCTACTAACTCGTGTCGAATATAGTCGCGCGTTCTGTAATTCTTGAACAGTCGACTCTCAAGCCAGTAAGTCTGGGAATGATTGAACGGGTACTCTGGTAGATCAACTACCATTTTCGCCGGTCGGTTCGACCCATGGCTATTGACAGCTTCAATCTTGACTGGGTAACCTTCAGTCCAAAGTTTCCCGGAGAGCTGCTGCAAGGATTTCAATCCGGAGACACCCCGTCGCATTGCTGCATCATATTTGACGTTTTCAGATTGAGGTATATTGTCCATGACCGCTCTCTGCATAGCTGCGTGTGGACCAATCTCAATGTAGTGATCCACTTGCGTGTTAGACCCTGCATTACGGCTGGATTGGGACAGATGACCAAGAGCTTCAGAAAACCTGACAGTCGACACGAGATTCTTCACCCAGTATTGGGGCAGAGAGAGCTGTTTGACTGGAACAGGTTGTCCTGTGACGGATGAGAAAACGACGGGTGTCTCTCCTTTCCGAGCAGATTGATTCGGCGGGCAAATACCCTGCAAAAGGCTCTTGTATTCCTCGGCAATCACTTCCATGTGAGAAGAGTGGTAGGCAACTGGAATTGTCAGCTTGCGGGCAAACACCTGCTTCTCGTCTAGGCGGACTTTGAGGGCGTCAATAGACTTGTCCAACCCTGTCACGGTAATGTTGTTGGCGCTATTTATGCAACCAATTGACAGGCATTGTTTGCCGTGGACAGCCGAGATCTCGTCGAAATGAGGCTGGAGTTCAGATACGGACAAGCCAACAGCCATCATGGCTCCACGTTCGCCAGTATTTGACTCTGCTACCCGAGCAGCCAGTGCTCCACGGAAGTAGGCAATTGTCCAAGCTGATTCACGGGAAATTGCTCCTGCGCAAAATGCAGCGGCAATCTCTCCCGACGAATGGCCCACCACGCCCCAGGGAACCACACCCCATCCCTCGAGGAGCTCCACCAGTGCTACCTGCAGAGCGGTACATAGCGGCTGTGCTAACGCCGGGCTATCAATCTGAGAGGAATTTGCAGGCTTGTGCAGCTCTTCGATCAGCGACCAGGAGCTTCCGAGTCCTTTAAGATAGGAGTCCGCTTTTAGAATGCTTTGCCGGAATGTCTCGTATTTCAGAAGCTCAATACCCATTCGGGCCCACTGTGCACCTTGACCGGTAAAGACAAAATTGATCCGAGGGCTTGTCGACGATCGCACGGGCTTCGGCATATTTTGTACCTGCGTCTTGAGACTTTCCAGGTTTCCTGCCAACGCGAAAGACTTCCAGGGCAGAACACTGCGTTTGTTGGATAAGGTGTATGCTAGATCCCGCAAGAATTCCTCCGATGCGTCATGAGAGTCGATACCAGTTAGGTAGTCTTCATATGCTGCCCCGAGTCGCTCAATTCCGTTGGAATCGGATGCAGACCAGGTGAAAACGTATGGGGTCTCTTCCGGTTCGTCATGCGAAGTACCATTTGACACTGTCGCACCGGTTCCATTGTGGTTGTTATAGCCATTGGTTGAGTGGCCATTTGTGTCTCCGTTTGTATGGCCATTTGCATGACCGTTCGTGTGACCATTAGCGTGGCCATTGGTGTAGCCATTTGTGACGTTGGTCACGCCATTCTCTAAGATAGCCAAGGAGGGCGGTCTTGTTGCAGTGACGTGGTGTGCTTCAAGGCCATGCTCCCGCAGGTAGTTGTATGCGTCATCCAGGACGGCGTGGGCATTCGATCCTCCATAGCCAAATGCGTTGACCGATGCCCGTCGGAGACCATCTGTGGGCCATGGAAGCGGCTTGGTCGGGAACTTTAGGTTCCATTCATCTGCCGGAATCCGAGGGTTGACCTCTTTAAGTCCAGCTATCGGGGGGATGATGCCTTTCTCCAGACTCAGAATTGTCTTGATCAGACCCGCCAGACCAGCTGTCGCTTCTAAATGGCCGATGTTGGCTTTCACCGCACCAATGTGCATGGGGTCGTCCGGGCTGCGATGTTTCTGGAAGACTGATTTTATGGCACCTGCTTCAATGGGATCACCTAGTTTCGTACCCGGACCATGGGCCTCAAATAACCGGGTGGATACGAGATCCAGACCACCCGAACGGTACGCCTCCCGGATCAACATCTCCTGAGCTGCCTGACTTGGCTGAGAGATACCGGGAGTGCGCCCATCTTGGTTCGTCGCAGTCGCTCGGACCACCGCTCGAATTACATCGCCATCAGCTATAGCATCACTTAACCGCTTCAGTACCAGGACGCCGAACCCTTCGCCCTTGGCATAGCCGTTTCCATCAGCCCCAAAGCTGTGGCAGCGACTGTCAGGAGAAATAAATTGCAGAGCGGAGAGCGAGATCGCGCTTGTCATTGGTTCGAGGTAGAGCTGTGAGCCGCATACCAAACTCTAGACACATTCCCTGTCAGCTAGTGTTACGTGAGCATCTCGGGGGTTGCACTCACCATTCGCGACTCCTTCGAGCGAAGGCTCTGACAGGCAAGGTGCAGGCCAATCAAACTGCTAGAGCAAGCTGTTTCAATGGTCATGCTCGGCCCCCGCAGATCGTAGAACCAACTCAGCCGGTTGGCTAAGATGGCTCCTGAGTTACCGGTAGCCTTATACGTGGCCTGGACCTCTTCGTCGAATTCGAAGAATCGGTTGTACTCAACTCCCAACGCCCCGACATAGACGGAGGTGGCGGAGCCCGCTGCTCTTTCGACGGGAATGCCAGCTGCCGTCACTGTTAGTATCTCACTCCATGATGTTTTTCTAAGAGTCTTACCATTTTCGAGGGCCCTGTAAGTTGTCTCCAGCAAACCTCGTTGCTGCGGATCCAAGCTTTCGACCTCACCGGGGCTCATGGAAAAGAACGGTGCGTCAAAGGCTGCTACATTCTCTTTTAAGAAATGGCCACCCCGTGCGTTTACCTGTTATGCTGTTAGGACCAGGTATCCTCGCCAGCGATGATCATACATACTGTGTCATTTCGAGACGCATCTGGGTGGTAGAAACCATTTATATTGAATCGGTCAGAAGGAACTTCTGTTGTGACGGATCGACCTTCTTGAAGGATTTTCCAGAAGGATTGGGGGGAGGTGGCATCCTGGGGGAATCTCAAAGAGAAGCCCACGACGGCCACAGGATCAGACCCGTCAAGAGTCTGAGAACTCTGTAGTGCTCCACCGCGGGAGACAAGGCCGTCAGTCGTTAGTAGTTGCATTGTATAACTTCGTTGGCACTACTGAAGGCGCAGTGTTGATGAATGTGGTAAGAGAACAGAAACCTCGATGGAGAGGATAAGTGGGAGTCCCTTCTTATCTACTTTGCTCCCCGCTGCGATTTCTCCCCGCTCGCCGTCGCAATCATCAATGTTGCGAGATAAATTACTCATGGCTCATCCGATTGCCAGCCTGACCGATGGGGAGCCTTAAGCGATAGCAAACGCAATCTGGCCATACGAAGTAAAGTGTGATGGAGCTGCATGGCCTAGAAACCTTTTTACGGTCCTGTCACAATCCATCATTTGCACATCGCCAAGCGCGAGTACAGTTCTTTCCAAGGCTAGTCAGAAACAGTCAGAACCGAGTGCTATCAAGATAGTATCGACCGGGATCCGCAGCCATCGCCCCACAGCCTATAAGTGTGCCGAGTTAATAGTCTCGCACGAACAACCTACTATATCAAGGTATAGTCGCGGCCGACGATAGATACAGCGGAACAGGTACCCGGATTGAGCCTCATTCCTGCCGGCTGGATCATCGCCAGGACTGGCATCCTTGGCCGGGGGTGTTGATCGTGCAGGGGCGGAAAGGTCAGTGCTGTTGTCTGAGCAGGTATTTTGACGGTAATGCAGTGTGTGAAAATGCAATGTTTGACACATGCCAATCAGGTGTGATGGTTGAATTGCCCAGAGAATGACCGGAAAGGGTATGATTGTCACTAGTCGACAAGCCACTAATGCAGCATCCCCTCTTCTCTCCTCTCTCGCCCGCTCCACTCGCTGCTCAAAAATGCCCTAAAATCTCACCCACTCCAAGCCGACGGCCACAGCCAAACAATGTGGCTGCTACACCGAGGAACGTTGGTCAAGGGCCACGAGCGAATCGCGAACTGCTGCATCATGCGATATGCTCTGTTAGGATCCATCCGCTGGCTGACCCGCCCTCCACACCCAGGCTGGTCAACGATTAACCAGGTTAATGCTGGACGCTGACAGCCAGTTTAACCGGGATAGCCTTGATGATCCCTGTCCGGGGACCCAGCTGGTGCCTAAGCAGGAGGCTATGGCAGTTATCCGGCCTGGCGACCGTGTCTATCTATCCCTAACCCAGTGTTTGCCCATTCCGCAACTGCCCTCCTTTCTTCCCGCCTGGGACCCACGGGGCCATTGCGACGAACATGGTGCGGGGAGGCCGATGAGAAGTGAAGAAATAGACAAAAGCTGAACAGTGCTCCGACTGTACTTCGTACTAGCTGATGTGCTGGGGCGAGGGGCCAAGTTTACGTTCATTTCTCAAATACATCTCATCTCATCGCCGTCTCGTTTGGTCTCGTCCCCACCCCCTTCCTTCCTCCTTGCCGTGCCACTCTCCTCCGACCGTGCAATAACCTCCTCCCCTAGCTGAATAGACTCTCCGATCGCATGGGGGCCATAAGTCTTCCATGTGTGATGATAGTTCAGGTCGCCTGCTTCCAGGGTATGCGACCCTGCTGACAGCCACCGATCATAATCCTTCTCCTATTGCTTTTCCCCTAAGCTTCGCAGATCTAGCGCCCTGACGCCAGCCATCGCCTTTGAAATCAATCATCACTTGCTTCTACACCTCCGCTTTTCTTTTACCGCGCTTCTGACTGTTGCCGATCGACTGATACTCGGGATTGGTACGCCGAGTCAGCCTCGCGAGGGACCAACCCCGGCCGCGTTTTCCATTTCTTTCCGGCCTGCTGCTCGTGCTTCTTAATCCACCCCAGTACATCACCGTCAGGATGAAGCACATCGGCAAAACCGGCCGGGACAACCTGGGTGCCGCCATCTCGATGCTGGCGCTGGCGGTGGTCTCGGTCGCTCTCCGGTTGGTGGTGAGAATCATGACTCGACAATGGTCTCCCTTGTCCGACGGCCTGCTTGTGTTATCGCTGGCATGCATGGCGGTGTTTGCGGCTTTGTTAATCCAGTGTATGTCGACGTCTCGAATAATTCAAGGCGAATGAAAGAGGGGTTACTGATCCTATGGTCACCCAGATATTGTCGCGGGACCCGGCCCAGGCACTTTCGACCTGAACGAATTCGCCGCCGATGCAGACATTGGGGGTATGGTATGGGCCAAGGCATTTCTAAAGGTGTGTTGCGCGGTGCCGTCCGTATGTGCGCGCAAAACTAACTGAATTCTTGAGCTAGACACTCTACGTCGCCGACCTTTTCTTCATGGCGACCATCAGCTTTGTCAAATTGTCGGTACTCGCCTTCCTGCACAGTCTCTTCAAGATTTCAAAGATATACCGCATCTTGAACTATGTGACAGCCGGCCTCTGCGTTGCTTGGTTCCTCATTGTTCTCTTCGTCAACATTTTCCAGTGTCATCCCATCCACATGTTGTGGGATGCGATGGGCGCTGCGGAATACTGTATTGCCAGTGGTCGGCTCTGGCTAGGGATGGAGCTTACGAACCTGTTCCTCGACGTTATGATCTTGTTTCTGCCCGTGTATGTGGTGACGAGGCTTCAACTCAGTCGCACGCGCAAGATCCAGGTTACCGGTATATTCCTCTTGGGTGGACTGTGAGTGCTCTCTCTGACGAAGTTGAAATTCGTTGCTGATCGCATGAAACAGGGTCTGCATTGCCAGTATCTGCAAGCTCTCCTATCTGTGGATTCCAGCCACGCCGCAGGTGGTCCGGGCCCCCGAGACAATGGTCTGGTCATCAGTCCAGCTGGGTGTGGCCACGCTCTGCGCCTGTCTACCAACCTACGCCCCATTATTCCGAGTCGCCCGGGGAAAGATGTCTACGGGGAAGTCGCCCACGCCCCCATATCCCTACGGAAGCGACAACACGCCGCGCAATGCTCCGGCAGGTAAGAGCGCACCCTATCGACGGGTGGAAGATCCGCTGCTGAGTACCCAGCAGACGGAAATCACGCGCGGGGATGGCGAGTCGTACAAGATGGACCAGCTCGGCCCCTGCCATATCTACGTGAAGCAGAGTGTAGACGTTGACGTGGTCTAGCATTGATCCAATCCTAAATTTTCTTAATTTTTCCCTTCATTTAATCGTTCAATAATTATCCAACCCTCCGGGGGAATAATTGTCCTTAACTTTTCGCCCCCAAGCCCAACCCCTCTTCAGCAAAAGCAAATCTGTAAATTGTGTCGGGATCGTGTTGCATAGCGCTAAACTGGGTGCTTCTTTTAGCGTGCCGGGGGGACCGTAGGGGTTTATGTGTGGGTACTGGTTCCAGCCCAGTTGCAGAAGGGTATTTAGCGCTGATGAGTTGGAGTTGGACCGAGTTCCGCCCGGGAGAAGAATTTCGGAGGTCCTCAGTCACACACAGCTCTGAGCTAAGTGCGGATATCCCTCATTCCTTCATTCTCCATGTTGCACAATCTTACGGGCGGACGAGTGTCCAACTCCACAGGTGAGAGACGGGGCGATTGCCCCACCAGTACTACTGCTACTCAGGATAGTATATATTAATAAATGAGCGAAACGTAATTTATCTCGGATGGTTCCAACTCCTGCATTTAATCAATAAATTGTCTGGGAATTTGTAGCTTTAGCAGAGGCACACATCAATCCCCACCCAACCAAATTAACATATATACAAACCTCCCAGTAGTATTAACTGTATAGCTGACAAGTCAACCGACAATGGATTCTGTAAACCGTTAGAACATTCATTCATCAATCATGCAACGCACTTCCAAATCAAAAATATAGCCCGAAAAGAAGAAATGAAATGAAAAGAACAGAAAGGAAAACATCCCCATCAAAGCAACGCACCCTTATTCGTATTAGTCTCATCCCCCAACAAATTCAAGACCATATTCTCCTTCATAGCCTTCAACCACTCCTCCACAAACCCCTTCTCATAATACGCCTCATTATAACTCGCACTCAAATGCAACTCATCCCTCCAACTCCAACAATGCACATACAACTGCTGCGCCAACATCTGCACCATAAGCACCAAACCCTTAACCTTCACCTCCCCATAACTCTCCCTGATCAGCCGATCCACAGACCCCAAACTATTAATATTTGGCTCCGTGGGTTGCGGCGCGCCCGCCGCAGCCGCAGCCTGGAACATAGCGGTGGCCTTTTCCACGAACGGCACCCTCACAAACATCATGTCACTGTCAGCCAAGTTCCACGATTGACGGTACAGCGGCTGGATGATTTCGACGAGGTCGGACCAGTTCGTTGTCGGCGTGGCTTCGACATTCAGCGGGAGGCCGACCATGCGCAGGGACGGGCCGTGAATGGGGCCGTCGTAAGGTGGGGGCAGGTATTTGCGGAGATCGAAGGCTTGCCAGGAGATGTAGCGTGATGATGAATTGGTGTAATTAGCAGCAGCAGCAGCACGCGTCGTCTCAATAATCGCAGAGGCGTGCATAGCTGTCGTGAGGGTGATATTTCTCGCGCGACAAGCACGACGCAGCGCGGTCGCCTGGTCCGCGGGAACGACATGCTCCGTGCGGAGAGACTTTGCGGGTAAGGCTGTGGGATCTAGCACGGGGAGGCCGATGGAGGGTTGGCCTTCGAGGAAGGTAGCGAGGAGTTCGTCGGCGCGACGAGACCATTCGGGGTTTCTGGCTTCGGGGGAAGCAGGCATGCCGATGATGGCGTCCAGCGAGGGGATGAGCCGGGTGGTTTCGCTGCCGTCGAAGAGGGTTGTGGTCGGAATGGTTGGAGCTTGCAGCTCGGAGAGGAACTGGTCCAATACCATAGCAAGCCCACTGCCGTCCCAGCGCCAGTGGGCTGAGACGATGCAGAGTTCCTGGCTGCTGGGGATCCAGTGTGCGGTTGCGTGCGGGTCTGTGATGTGCAGCTTGTGGGTGAAGAGGTCGTCGGCGGATTGCGCTGATTCTTCGATTTTGAAGGTATCGTTGCACCAGGATTCTAGGGCTTCAGGGCTTGTGATCGGGTAGTAGCGTTTTTCGTGGGCGTGCAGTTCGCCGGCGATGTCGGGATAGCGCATGCGGAGGGATTTCCAGGCATTGCGGAGTTGTGTGATGATCTTGTCGGGGTTGTTGTTATTGTTGGGAAAGTCGAGCTGGACGGCGCCGATGGTGAGCCAGTGTTCACGACCGAGTGGTTTGCCTGACTCGCCGATGAATTGGAAGAGGCGGTCATGGCAGTCTAGGGGACGGCTCCAGTAGTCGGTTTGTTTGGTCCAGGACATGGTGGTGGTTACCAGAGGATGGCAGCTGAAGTGGTGTGGATGGATGAGTGTATGAGGGAACTGTATAGTTCAGATGGGAGTTATAAAAAGTTTAGCTGATGTTCGGTTGGAGTAATTAAAGAGCCTTGTAAATCACCCGGGCGGGGATCTCCAGGCAAGCCCTACCAACTATTCCATCCATCCCTGTAAGAACTTCACCGCAATCACTTCCCCCCTATCACTTACAACCTGCCTATAATATCCTTCACTAAGATTTCTTTGTTGTGATACAGTTCTGACATGGCTTCCTCCGTTCACACTTCTCTCCCCTCGAATCACACATTCCTGTCCCGCGACAGAACGCCTAATGGGTAAATCAGGCTACAGCAGTCAGCAATTCAATAGAGTTTTGATCATGCATTAGCGCCCTGAATCTCCACATTCTAGCCTCGTTCTCACAGCCCACCGTCTGGCCCCCACGTTACAAACGGCCTCATGCATTTGATTTCGTTCTTTTGTCGGTCTTTCTTTTCCCGTCTGACGGGCTGATTCCCGCAATCCTTGGCTGGTCGGGTGGCCCGGCAATTTCAGGCTGGCTTGCTGGTGAATGGACACATGTTCTTTCTCACATCAGCTATTGATTGAAAGGGGTATGTGAAAATTGGTTGAAAATTTGAAATAGGCAATTGAGTTGCTTACGGTCCACTATGTCAACCCACATTCATGCCAAGGGGTAAGGCTGTACGATACTGTGTGAACCTTGAGAATGATGACATGATTTTTAACGAGGCTATGCTCTGCATACTGTAAGAATACCTTCACGATAACGAATTTATTTATTTCTTATTTTCAAGCTTTTTTGACTGAGAAAATACGCTTTGAGGATCCATTTGAAGGTTGCTGGAACGCAGGATTTATAAACATTCCTCATGCTATGTAGATCTTGTCGGTCAAAGAAATATATTCACGTGCTAAGAAGCTGTGCTTGAAAGTGTCGGATACTTAGCCTGAAATACGCAATTACTAACGGAAACATCTATTTAGAGCTACAAGGAGCTCAGTGCATATGCTTGTGAGAGAAAGAAAGAGCAGTCGTAGCATTTTACTCAACATGTAGGACAGACAATGGGCTGACATCCGATCACCCAGAATAAAAGCAACGCAAGTGCCAGGGCTGCGGATTTCCACCACGAATAAATATATGCAACCCCAGGTACAATGACATGTAGGACAGAACAAGGATAACACGGCACCAGCTGATGGGTCGCGTTACACTATGCAACGGTCACTTCGGAGAATATTCAGTTCAGAAGCAAAAGGCAGACAGCATTAGCGCAGGGAGCCAAAAAAGCTTGGCAGCTTCTCTATGGTCGGGTTTTAAGTTCAATATCGAACTCGAGGTACGGGTCTTTGGCTTCCGATAAATCTAGACCTGGGTTGTTGGCTGGATTGATCATGATATGCCATGTGAACAGTCTAACCTGGTTGGTCGTTACTGGAAGCTATAGACTCAAGGGCAGAAGAATATAAACTAAGTGGAATTGAATATTTTCAGTGACTGAAAGATAGAAACAAAAAGACAGGATGGTTCAATAGCAATTACACAGCAGCAGAATCCCTTGATAGAAGCTAAAATCTACCCGATGGACCATACCAACGTTTCACTTAGTAGAGTGACCATTGATCAGACTTTTCGTCATCACTTTTGTCTTCGGTCTCTGGCTCAAAGACGCCTAGCATAGGATCCCTACCTCCCACTTCTCGGGAGAGAGTTGCAGCTTCTCTTATGATATGGCAGACACGACCGATGACCTTCCTTTGGTCCAAGTACCAGGACAAATCCAACCTGGTTGAATACTATATTGCATACATTAGCTTCAGTCAAAGGGGAAAATGAGATAAGAAAGAACAATAAACAAAAAGTGCTTGGGATCCGTACCTTGCCACTATCGTTCAGGTGGAAGAAATTCCAGGTATAGGTATCGGTATGAATTCCGTAAATGTCACCGTTGTCGCCTGCCTCTTTCCGCTGGCGATGAACAGCAGCTGGTCGGCCGAAGTCAATGTTCATCAGCTCTAGAATTGACGAGGGAGTAGGAATGAACTTACACATAGCTGCAAGGACTCCCCAGCCCTCATCAGGAACGATCGTCTGTTTCCTAAGCACAATGACGTTTGTGTCCAAATTTGGGCGGCAGCCGTACAGTAGAATGAAATGCATAGTAATCTCCACAGGATCAGTCACAAAGTCAGTGACGGGTGGAAGAATGAGTTTCTGGTCAACCATCCAGCATGGCGTTGAATAGTCAATCGGAGGGCGCTCGGAGTTAGACGCAGATTCAGTTGCTGGATCTTCGTCATCAACTCCACCGATACAAGTTTCCTTCATGACCTTGGCCAACAACGCCATTAGGATTGCACTCAGTCGAGGCCGAATTAATCTCGCGTCACAGTCTTCAGTACCGAGCCCTAAAGCGAAATCCTCCAATAGAGTTTCTTTGAAAGTAGTAATCAGAAGCGGCGTTAGATTTAGTTTTCGGGGGATCATCACATACCCAGATATTCTGGGATTTGAACATCGGTAAGGTCCTGGTCAATCTGCCATGGCTTCTCCGCTTCCTCATCCTGAGCCCGAGTGAGATCGAGGCCAAGTCTGAAATAAGGTGCAAGAGCAGTTATGTCATTCCCCTCCCCTATGTCCTTGGGATCATACATATCCATTTCGTATTGTGTGTCGATAGTAGAGGTAAAGGGCTTTAGAAGGATGAAGTGGATGATGGAGACAGAAATGAGTGAAGTTGGGGAATAGATGCAGTGAATGAAATTTTGAAGTATGAAGTTAATGCGGAGTCATAAACCACCCCTATAAACAATGACGAAATATCAACTACACCATCATTTCTTTCTTTCGCAATCACCCTCTTAAAATCTCAACACTCTTTGAAAGTAACCTTGCCTTCTGATTTTGAGATTCAGCGCCGACAATGGAGGCTATAATTAGCCGTCTAGATGTAATAATTAAGGCAGTCATCTCGCGATCTGTTGGTGAACAGAAGAAGAAAGAGCTAGATCCAGAAATCTCCAAATGTTTCGATTTAGCCAAGACAGAGTCTCGCCAAGGACAGCAGGGTCAAGGATCATCCTGCCCTCATCAGGCTGTTACTAATATAAAGCCCGAAGATGTCGAAAAGACCTTCGGCATCTCTGTGGATTCAACCGGTGGAAACTGGACTCTATCAGCGAAGGATCGCATCGCAATACCCCAACACCTTGGTAAACCGCTTTCAGAGCGTTATGCAACGAAGCCTTTAATAAGTTGATGCAGAAGAGACCTACGTGATATAGATCTTGTGACGAAAGGGGCGCCGCTTAATGAGGCGCATACCCGGGCCCGAATCGATGCCGTGCTCTTCAGCACCCTCGCCGCAGCAAAGAGGGAGGAAAGATCGAACCAGAATCGGATGTCTTCGTCCTCCACCCAACCTGTCCGATCTGTGCACCTACAATTCGAAAAGGACATGAAGATGGAATGGAATTTTCCCAACAAGCAAAGATGGCTAGTAACGGGTAGGACCGATTACTCGCTGTGGTATGGAGAACCTGGCCAAATGGAAGCAAATCTTGTCGTGTGCAAGGCGAAGAGGAAGGGGGTGATTGGCATGGAACAAACTCTCATTTACATGGGTCAGTACACAGATTATTTTGGTTTTAACGTTTGCAACTATCCCCTCTCCTGCTCTGAACATTGGCGATGGATTATTTCGATCAACCCACTTTCAGCTTCATTGTTTGCTGGACCACTTTCTAACGAACAATAGCGATGCTACACCAGGCCCGGAGAGCGGCCGGTCGCCACGACACTGCTATCTACGGTGTTGCAACTGACAGCAACATCTGGGAATTCATTCGACTGGGGAACGATAGCAAAGTAAGTAAGAAACTCGAAGGAAATGACCAGGAACCATAGAGAACGAGGGCTGACAGAACATCTCAGTACTCCGTCGCCCACTATAGGTGGGACCATGGCCACGGAATACAGATTTTATCGACTTTACGACTCATCATTAACCACGCCAGTGGCCTCACGGGTGGTGGAGCAGCCCTTGGTAGAAAGAGGACTCTTTCGCAAGCGAGTGGGATCGAATTCCGGTCCTCCCGGTAGCAGAGAGCGACTTGGAGATTGGCTCAATAGCTTCTTTGACGACTTGCAAAGGACGTTTTCGTTATAGTGATAGTTGATAGACCGGGATCTGATGGAATTGGCGTAAGAGGGAACTGCATAAGGGACGTGGTCGGCTCTATAGATTCTTTCATAGCTGATATTGAATGAAACTTTCTTTGACTGCTGGAACTTGTAACCGGCGGACTGCATCGTGAAATTTTTCAAGAGTCATACTTAGTTCCGACAGTAGTAATACTTCCAAGAAATATATAAGTACTGCTTGAGCTGAGGTAAGCTGCAGTGGAGTCTTGGTTATATTTGGGACGGTGGTACCAAGGAGTGATTGAATGTCTCGCAGTCATTCGCCACGGAGGTCGATATAATGTGATATAATGTATAGGCTATCAAGAGGACTGTGTGGTTATTCAAGTTAGTAAAGAAGAGCTTGAAGTGGTAACAGTGTGTTTAATCTGCCAAATTGCTAGATATTATTATTATAACCCCTGCACGTTTATCATGCAAACCAACCGGATAACCCTCTTTTGGCATTACAAGGAAGCCCGAACCCGATTCAAAATCACAGTCTGCGTCTGCAAAAACTCATTTAAGCCCCATTTTCCTCCAAATCGACCATATCCACTGTCTCCCACTCCTCCATGCGGTAACGTCGGTTCATCATGCACCGTGCCCCCATTGACATGGACTGCTCCGACGGCAATATCTGCAGACATGCCAAGGGCCTTGAAATGGTCCCGCGTGAACACCGCCGACGATAGGCCGTACGCGGACCGCTTAACCATCTGCAAACCCTGTTCTGCTGATTGAACAACAATGATGCCAAATACCGGGCCAAACGACTCGATCGTATAGAACTCCATCTCTTCCGTGACACCTTCAATCACCGTAGCAGGGAACGCCAGGGGATCCTCAGCGAGAGGGTTGCGAGCCTGGTGAATGACAGCACCCTTGGTCCTTGCATCCTCCACCAACTGCGCAAGACGAGCTCGACCCGCCGCCGAGATAACCTTGTGTGGTCGATCTTCGCTGTGCAAGCGCTCTAGGATCTTCTTAGTCAACTCCTTCGCCACGGACTGAACAACGTAGACGAGATCAGTCGACATGCAAATCTGGCCATTCTATTGACGAACCTTGTTAGCACACATCCTCTTCCAAAACAACACCATGGCATGGATTCGGATACTCACGTTCAAATAACCCGCCGCAATGATTTCATCCGCCGCCTGATCCAGATCCGCATCCTCTAATACCACGACGGGATTCTTACCACCCAACTCCAACAGCACTGGCTTCAACGCCATCGCCGCCTTCGACGCAATCACACGTCCCACCTGCGTCGACCCCGTGAAATTGCACTTCTTCACAGCCGGATGCTGAATCATACACTCGTAGATCTCCGCTGCGTCCTGCGGCCGATGCAGAACAAAGTTCACCACTCCGGGCGGGAACCCTGCCTCTCTGAACAGCGCAGCCAGAAAGTAATGCGTTTGGGGACTCAATTCGGATCCCTAGTCTTGTCAGCGACCAATTAACCCCCCAGTGAGTTAAGATATAGTGACAATCCTCACCTTCAGAATCGCTGTATTACCCGCCGCAATTACCGGAATCACCGATCTCAATCCCAAAATCACCGGCGCGTTCCACGGCGCGATGCCCAGCACCACACCGAGCGGCTTCTTCATGACAAGCGCATACGTGTTTCCCTGTGATGAAGGGATCGTGCCGCTAATGGCGTCTGTTATTACTGATGCGGTCTCCTCGACAATGCCGGCTGCTATTTCGACGTTGAGCTGGGACCAGAGTGGTGTGCAGTGAATTTCATCTTTGATGAGGGTTTGGATGATGCTGGATTTTTCGCGGAGGAGCTTCATTATCTCTTGTTAGACGGAATTATTTCTTAATTACAACACTAGGGTGTTAAATAGCTTACCCTGGCCAGATTGAGAAGCAGACGTCGACGTTCCTCGGGGGGTGTTTGCGACCATGTCGGGAAGGCACTTGCGCAGGATTCAACGGCTTGAACGGCGAGATCGGTAGTTGCGCCTTGGAAAGATTTTAGGTGTGGTGCGGATTTAGAAGTGATGGGGTGTTTGCGGTCATTGTTGGAGAGGAGGATATCTTTGCCGTGGATGATGAGGGGAATTGCAGTTGTGGTGACCATTTTGATATATCTGGGGAAGGCGGTTGTTTGTTTTCCTGCAGGATCACTCAAGTTTCTTTTTTTCTGGGGGAGGGCGCCCCCTCTTCTATTTGAAGGAGACAGAGACTCCACTACCGACATTAGTAACCGTTGAAGCAACCCCCTGTCACTTCTTCAGCGCTTGGTTCGCCTTCGGAATTGAAGCGCGCCGTTAGCGTCCATTGACAGGAGTCTGCAGGTCGAGACGTTGCCGCGTATTCTATCCGGACCCGCTGTGGCATATTAGAGTTAGGGTCCTTGCGGGGTGCTATATCCGATTTCTTGCAGTTTTCTGGCTGTGTATATCCGAGATTCGCAGACTTATGGTGAGTAGTTCGGATATACGGGCGTGGCGAGCGTTTAGTGCGGTGGGGCGGCGAGATGAACCACGGATGCCTTCTCAGATTTGGCTGCCTCAAAAGTCGGGGTATTCTGATCTATTTAGAGAGGGAAGTTGACCGGATTGTGCTATATACAGCAAATATTTGAGTGAATAGTGGATCAACTACTGTTTGGCTGTCTTTCGCAATCTATGGCAGTAGCACCTTCAGTGTACCTGCGTTTGAAAGGTGGTGACAGCACAAAATGCAGTTTGCGGAAGACTGGCACTTGACTCCACAAACCGTGGGCCCTCATCCCGGCTTTAGATCGATGTCCGGGGTTATCTCCGCTGTGTATCGGAGATCTTGATCGTATTCCGTGAATGTCAGGGGCAGGCAAACAATGTGGTATCCATAGCTTATTGATTGACCCACCTGTCGGTGCATATAGGTACCTGACATCTTATATTGGTATGAAAGATCCTCAGTGACCCAAATCTGATGTTTAGGTCCGAATCTGGATATGACGATTAATGAGGAGTGGAGGTGATGCCGCGATGGTGTTTTCAGCAATTAGGGTTAAAGAGTCATGTCGTACAACCACGGGATTGCGAGCCAAGAGACACTCTTCATACTGTTACTTTTATGTTAGCCTCCCAATAGTCGAGTGGTTGTCCACATTCACACTATTTATCCCACCCAGCTCCATAGCAGCGCGGGTACGAATCCCTTTGAGGGATTTGTTTTTTTGGATGCCTTTTTTTCATTTTCTCTTGCCATAGTTCGTGGACATGTTCTTTTCATTATTTCTCTTGTTGTCACTTATAATTCTATAGGTGTACTGACATATCCTCAGATAAAGTGAAATTCTTCTCTGGTTCCTTGATTTCGGAATTATATCAGTCCCCCGGTACATATATAAATATAGAGTGAATAGACGCCTACATAGTCATGCAGAGTCCAGTCTTGCCCCAAAGCTTGAACCCAGGCTTCAGTGAATGTGTTTGGAGAAGATATAATTTGACTGTATACCCTAAGAACACTTATATCACTTGTCACAGAGTTAAGAGAAATTCCCTCTGTTCCCCCCCACTGCCTTGTTGACTGGTGCCCGCGGTATATGTTGTATCATAAAATTGACTCAATTCTGACAAGTAAGTTTAATTTTGACCTCCAGATATGGCAACCTACACTGATGGAGCTTAGGGGAAAGACACGATACTATGGAGAAGGTTATGCTCCAAGGCCCGATTCCTACATCGGTTTGACAAATATACATCTAGTAGTTATGGCGTGAGGCCGATTCTGGAATGGTTCACCATCGCATAGCTATGGATAGTGAACACCCTCTCGCCCCACGCTAGCATACAAAGAAATGGACTAATAATAGGAGTAAAGGCTCGGCGAAGGGATATGAATACAGGAACAAGTCTGGTTCTAAATATATAATCAGCACCATTTGAACTGTATCACTAGATTCACGTCAAATGAAGTAATGTCGCAACGAGTAAGTGTTGAAGGAGGTTGCAGCATACAGTCATAGTATAGTGAGCAGAGTTCATGTTTCTGCGTTTATATGATAATGCCGATAATGGCACTGACCAGCTACAAGACATCATCAAACTAGGGGAAATTTGCCTCATAGCCATAATAGTCGACAGTCTGGAATAATCCTGACGAAGAAGTTATAAGATGGCTCCCCAACTGTGGTGTTTTCGTTTTGGACCATCATTACACCAAGGACGATAGACAGTATATGTAGGTATTATCCTAGTCAGTGTGAAAATTTTTGTATTCGACCAGATGAACAAATAAAGCGTCTGTTCAGTATATTTGGCTTTTAGATACTCTTCGTTTGATTGCTCATACCGTATGCGTGTTGAGCTTCAGGTTGAGGGGTCAGAGCATGGATCACAAACAGCACCAGTGCCTTAGCATATGCGGCATATCCAAATGAGGATATGTATCCGCAGTTGGTCTGCGATAATGGCCGCAGTGAATCTTCCAGCTAGATGTGTAGCATCTAGCCAGTCAAACTTTGTTAACGAACATCTTTCTGCTTTCTATCTCGATGATACCTTCCATTCTCGACATGGTTTAGGTGCCTGTACTTAGACTTCATGGTACAGTCCACCCTAGTACCCAGTTCGGCATTCTACAATCTGATCTGGCACGCGTTGAGTGGACAGAATATCAAGTAGAGAAACACTAGGTTCGTTTGCTAGTCAGTGAGAGTTTTGATAAATCCCGCATCGGACACGATCGAACTTGTGGGTTCGAGGTGAAATTTCGAAGTGCTCCATCATCTCCACAAATCGTTTCAAAGATATACATCTGCCTGGTTTCAAAGCCCCAGCAAACTAGACGATGGATAAACTATCAATACCACTCCAGTAGTACCAGAATTTGGGACAAGATCGTGTCGAGCCACTATCAGCAAATTCATTGTGCTTTGCACTATAGATTGTCTGTTAGTACCGTTGGGAGTTGATTAAGGGTAGACCTTGAAGTTATGTTAACCTATGAATGAGCACCCGAGAAGTGTGGTTTGGGTGCTGAATAATATCACATCATTACTGTACAGGGCAAGAGAGAAATCTGTGACAGTTTTGCCACCGATGGACCAGAATTCCACTGACAGTGCTTCCATACGGGACCATCGCACAGTGCGGGATCTGAAAATCAAAAGCACAACAATCAGGGTTAGGCAACCCCGAGGTAATGAGGATGTTGGGCAAGGTTGCTTGAGTGATGTACGCATCATATGCTCGGCCTCTTCTTGGCCGCATCAACCGATACGAAAAGGCAGGTTCGATATTGGGCATGAATGATCATCATGAAGAGATCGTATGGGTTTCTAAATGGGGTAAACTGCAACGTCGGTGGAGCCACCACAAGGTTGAAACTTTGCTGCGATCGTGATGATGATGATGAGACGGAGGACGATGACAGGGAACAAGCGGTGTCTCCTGATTGTCCCTGTCCCTGTCCCTGTTCCTTGGCCTCATACGTGGTTTCTGTTCTCTTCAAGTCCGTGGTTCTTCTTCCACAGATGACGTAGGGAGAGAGATATTGGATGGTTGTATTCAACAGAAATCGTGCAGAAATCACCAGAACTGAATGGCACTAGACCACTTCTGGCGCTCGCTCCGAGGGCGGTGCAATGGGTGGAGACCCAACATGGTTAGACTTATCTGCAGTATGCATATTTTTCGGCGCTAGTCCCGGAGTGGCAAGGTCGAACTCAAAAATGAGAACGGAAACGGAAGACCAGCGATAGATCCCCGAAAAATTTAACGGGCAAAAAGAGATGACCAGACTGGGGCTCGATCCCAGGACCTTATCGGTGTTAACGATACGTGATAACCAACTACACCATCCAGCCAGCTGTTGATGTTTGCTTTTGCTAATTGGAGTTATGTTCTCACGCTCAAGATGAAGGGTCTCACCACTGCGGCTTCTGGCTGCTCTCTTCTCCTCACACCACGGCTTCATTACAGGTTTCGGCACCCATCTATCAACGTTGCTATGATATCCTCTCCTACATCAGGCCACTCATGCTTGCCATGGAACACCACCTCAGATGCCGATTTACCCCTATTATGACATATCTCCCAAGCCACTGTCTACTCCATATCCGAGCCGGTTGCAATAGTTCGGCATCCTTCGCGACGGCAACTGCCTCCGTCTTATGCACGGCATACACGGCATGCCGTCACGATGCTGACCGGTGTCTGACTCGGATGAACTCGGCGCCTCACACCTCAGTGGCTCAACCATCTGCAACCTCACTTCTCCATCCCGACCCGAAAATCCTGGCAGCTATTCGGAGCTGTGGAGCTCTGATCCCATACGTGTCAATTGCCAAACAATCAGCGCAGCAAAACTTACCCGGCTGGCATTGCCTGTCAGAGTTGTGAAGCGCAAATAACACGAGTTTAGGCTAAACGTATGCCGGATAAAGGGTGAGATTGACGCTATAGTCTAGCACTATCAGCTCTACGCGAGGCGCGAGACACGCATCCAGAGTGGTCCAGGTGCATCACCTGGCAGGTCAGCCGGCTTGGTCGGCACAGTCCAAGCTGGTTCGTTTACTGTTCATGACTAACTGCTTTGGACTGGTGGGCCCCGACGCTTTCTGTAGACTACGAGGTTTCAGTTGAACCGAAGTTGATTAATTTCGCCAGAGGTTCTGGAATCCTACAAGGATATCTAGCTCACCCCGGCGAACAGCCATATAAGGATTGACAGTCTGGAGTCTGGAGGCGGGCTAAGTTTGTTGATAATCCTGGAGAAGACACACGATCATTACCGGTCTGACCCTTGACACTGGGGATAGTCGGCGTGGTGCGCAAACGGGAGACACAGCGTGCATACGACTTGCTGCAACTGCTTCCCGGTTTAGCTGCGGTGAGGTCTTTTCCCCGAGGTCAACCCGAGACCGTCCCCGAAAAGCGTGGGATGGACCCAGTGAGTGGCAAGGCTCCGAGTCGGCCCGACGGCTGACTTGCCTTTCTCGGGATGCCGACTGGTTGACGGTTGGCTTAGGGTTGGCCGATGATCCAAGTTATGGATCTGATCTCGGGCGAGTTCCGAGGATCAACCTTTCCCTCCCGCAGTAAGGGATATGGGCATGAGAGCTGTCTGTACGGTGTAGGAGGAGATATCAGTGTTAAAGAAATGTTTAGGGAAAGTTCTCCAACGTAGATTATATCGCTTGCAGATATTTTCTCTCCGAAAGATGAAAAATCTGATCCGACAAGGAACAGGCAGGTGATGGGCAAGTTTCCCCGAGGTTTCTCAGACCCCAAATCAACCGATCCAGAATGGATCGACCGCAGAGTTTGCGGCCCACTTGAACCACAATGTGATGCCTGGATGGCGGAGGCAGGACAAGTGGACAACAACCGTCCACAAGCCTAGCCCTGGCCAGCATCATTCGTGCAGGGCAGTCAGACTTCTCCAGCCTCGGGGCCACCGTCCAGTTTCCACCCCGACTTTATGACGCACCCCAGAAGGATTTCGAAGCATCGCTTATGCGCAGGTGGACCGACAGGAGGGAAAAACCGGAGTCTACACCCACGGACTTGAACCGGCTTGCGGGCTTGCCCCCTTCCCCCGTGTTTTTGTTTTATATTTCCCCCATCTCCCGCAATTCTTGACCCTTTTCACTTCCTCTCTCACTCCTCCTTCTCCCTTTCCTCCCTCCCCTCCTCTTCTTCAACATGGACAAAATGGACAAGTCCCAACCCGCCCTCTCTACACATACGGAGAATGCCTCCCCCGGCCCCTCCAGCGTGACTGCTTCAACGGCGTCGGGTCGCGTGGCCGGTGGGAAGTATCTCGAGGGTGTCAACGAGAGCTCGGCCCAAGATGGCCCCCTCCAAACCGTTGACTTCGACCTCCCTGTGACCGTCACCCAACGCATGGTTCAAGACGGCAACCAATACATTGTCCTCGACTTCGTCCCGGGAGACAAGGAGAACCCTTTCAACTGGGACCCCAAGTACAAGGCTTTCATCAGCGCCCTTCTCTGTCTCATGACCCTCTTCATCGGTCTCGCCACAACAGCCTACAGCTCCGGTATCAGCGACATGGCCTCCGACCTGGGCACCTCCGAAGAAATTGCGGAACTCGGTCTCTTCCTCTTCAACTTCACCTGTGCCTTGGCTCCTCTCTTCCTGGCCCCCTTCTGTGAACTGGCTGGCCGTCGTGTCGTCTACACCGGCGCCTACTTCTGCTTCGCCATTATGTTCATCGGTCTCGCCCTGGGCAAGAACATCGGCACCATCCTCGTCTGCCGTGCCCTGCTCGGTCTGTTCGGTTGTGTCGGTACCATCCTGGTCGGTGGTACCTTCGGTGACATGTACCGCCCGGAGGACCGCGCCATCCCCGTTGCAACCTTCTCTTTCATCGCCATCTTCGGTACCGTCGGTGCCCCTATCTACGCCGGCTTCATTGACCAGGCTCTGGGCTGGCGCTGGGTTGAGGGTATCCAGGGTCTCGCCAACATCCCCCTCGGCCTCGTCATCCTCTTCTTCCTCCCCGAAACCCGCGGTAGCGTTGCCCTCGGCAAGCGCGCCAAGGCTCTCCGCACTCACACCGGTGACGACCGCTACGTGACCGAGAACGACCTTGAAGCCCCCTCCCTGAAGACCATGCTTCACAACTCCTCCGTCAAGGCCATCAAGATGCTGGCCACCGAACCCGTCGTCTTCGCCTTTGGTCTCTGGATCGCCTTCGCCTGGTTCCTGACCTTCCTCTTCCTCAGCGTCATCCCCATTACCTTCCAAGAAAAGAAGGGCTGGAACGAGGGTGTCTCCGGCCTCCCCTACATCGCCCTCTGCTTGGGTACCACCATGGGCTTCGGTCTCAACTTCTTCCAGATCCGCAAGTACGAGTCTCTTGTTAAGATCGGTGAGGCTCGCCCCGAGGCTCGTCTCTACGGTGCCCTCTACGGCGCTGTCTGGCTCCCTATCGGTCTCTTCATCTACTCCTTCACCCAGTACGCCGATCTCCCCTGGATCGCTCCCGTCATCGCCTTGGTCCTCATCGCCATCGGTATCTTCTTCATCTTCGAGTCCTGCTACAGCTTCACCTCCGATTGCTACGGCGAGAGCTCGTCCTCTGCTATCGCCGGTCAGGGTTTCATGCGTAACACCCTGGGTGCTGTGTCCCCTCTATTCGCCTCCCAGTTCTTCCACAACGTCGGCTCTCAGTATGCCGGTCTGATCCTGGCTCTGATTGCCTCTGCCTTGACCCTTATCCCCTACGTGCTGTTCTGGTACGGACCTCAGCTCCGGGCTAGGAGTAAGCTCGCTAGTCTGGTTGTGCATGGTGATGGCGAGAAGAAGGGCCACAACGACTCTGCTGGTCAGGGTGTGTAAATGTCTTACGTCCCTCTCCCCTTGATCTATGGTCGGTCTGTCTGTCCCCGGTTCGGATGGATAGATACTACTATTGATGTGTATATATGAGATTGTCGGGTGTTATGATTGACCAAGTATATATGTTACCCACTCTGAAACAAAAAAAAGAATTTTCATGAACATATTCATGACTGTTGCCTTCACTGTAAACAAAGTAAATTAAATTAAACCAAGGGTATCGAGACATTATCGTATGTAGAGATCTCATAGAGAATCCCTTGCCTGAACAACTAACACATCCCCACCACCCATCCTGACAAGCTTCTCCCCCAGCAGCCCCAGCACCCCTCTCCCCCCATCCTTATCTTCATCCCCATCATCCCCCATTGTATCCACCCCCACACTACCCCTCCCCACAACAACCAACCCACCAGCCCGTTGGCCAGACCCTAATCTCCCCAGTTCCCCTTTCACATGCTCAACCACCCTATCCACCACCCCACTATTACTGTCCTCGATCCCACCAGCAAGAACCAACTTCTTGAACACCATCCGCGCCGCCACCTCCTCAACCAACGAATCCCTCAGCGCAGCAAGATACACCGCATCCGACTCATCAACCTCACGCTTCTTACCACTACCACCACCACCATCACCACTGCTACTACTAGTACTACCACTATCCTTCTTCCTATTCCTCACCCCTCCCAAAACACCAGCAGCAACAGCAGCCTTCGGCGCCGCAACCCCACCCCCACCAGTAACAACATGCACGACCGTCGCCGTAACCTGGTCATTCCTAATCAACTGCAGCACCAACCTAACCGCGAAGCGATCATCCTTGCCCCCGAAATACGGCAACAGGATATGATGGGCCTTCCTCGTCGTCGGCACCACCGCAAGACCCCTGTCACCACCAATTCCCCCACCCAGATTCAAGTTCCCACTATGTATACTCAGTCCCCCAAGCGAGGGCTTATCACGCAGTCCACGCCCATTATTCCTCCTCCTCGGCGTCCTCTCAACCAAAAACCCCACATTACACCGTACATTGCGCAACACACTCTCCGCGAACGCCGTATACGGCGCGGAGGCTACAAAGCGGGTCGCGATCGGGTCATCAAGAACGGAAGCGAGATCCAGTGAATGATGTTCAGACATGGACCCCGTTTCACTCCAAGGGAGAAGAAGCAGATCCGTCAAGTCGTCGCGGGCCATGCTTACCACTGTATCTGCGTAGGAGTGTTCGGGGACGACGGAGACGCCGGCAACGATGGAGAGATCGTGCCATTGGCCGAAGGCGCGGAAGGTGTTTACGACGGGATCCCAAAGTGGGTAATGGAGTTGGTCGAGTTCGGAGACGGTCATGACGCTGGAGTCGCGGTCCGTGAGTTCGAGGAGGCGGACGCCGTGGACTTGGAGGGTGGGTTTGGGATCTTGGTCTTCGTCTTGGTCTTCTTCTTCAGTCTTGTTGGTGGGAGTGGCTGTTTCTTCTGCGGCGGGGTCAGGTGACGCGAGGGTGTCAGGGTGTTGTTTTGGGAGTGGGGGTCTGTTCGGGGAGAGGAGCGCGGCGAGGGTGCAGATGCTGGAGAGGCCATCGAGGCGGAGGTAGACGAGGAGTTTGCGGACGGGGAGGGCGCGCTGCTGTTCTTTGGCGAGGGCGATGCTGTCGGTGCGGGCGTCGGAGGGGATGGGGTTGCCGGTCTTCCAATCGATTTCGCCGCGGCGCCAGCGCTCGACTTTGACTTGGTACCATTTTGGGTAAAGGGCGACGGTGAGAGGGGTGGTGGCGAAGGTGGTTACTAGGGCCATGACGACGAACATCGTGAAGGTACGGGTGCTGAGGATGCGGGCTTGCAGACCGATGTTCTGGGTGGGTTAGTGGAGGTGGGTAGAGGGATGAGGGAAGGGGATGGGGCATACCAAGACGATCAGCTCGACTAGACCTTTGCAGCTCATGAGCACGCCAATGGAGAAGCTCTCGCGCCAGAGGAGGCCGCAGAGTCGCGAGGCGATCGCACCGCCGGCTACTTTGGCCGTAAAGGCGATGGCAATGATGCCGACCACGTAGCCCCAGACAGTGCCGGTATCGAGCAGGCCCAGGTCGGTTTGGAGGCCGGAGAGTGTGAAGTAGAGAGGGAGGAAAAGCGCCGCGACGAGATCCTCGATCTTCTCGGTTAGTTTGATAGCGAAGCCGCCTTCGTGGGGACACAGCAGGCCGATGATGAAACCACCAAAGATGGCGTGGATGCCGATGATCTGGGTAAAGAAGGCGGAGGCCAGTGCGATGAGAAGCGTGATGGCGACCACGGACTGACTGGGTCCTTTTTGCAAACTGCCCGTGTGGCGGAGGAAGCGCAGAAAGAGTGGTCGGAAAACGAAGGTGAGGAAGAGGATATAGCCCACGCAGACGAGCAACACCCAGAGTGCGGTTAACCCAGTGCCTGCGTTGACGAGAGCAACACACAGAGCGAGCAGGATCCAGCCGACGACGTCGTTTCCAACGCCGGCTGAGAGCACGATGACTCCGACATTGGTTCCCAGAAGTTTGAGCTCTGTCAATATACGACACAGGACGGGGAATGCCTGACAGGTGATTAGCAATGTGGACGATCTTCCCATTATGTAGCAGCTTACAGTGATAGCCATAGCAATACCGATAAAAAGCAAAAAGGTGCCAAAGTTGATATCCACCGTGCCAGGCTCATCTTGGAAAGTGTTGTACAGTCCGTAGGCAATTGCACAGCCCAGTCCGAAGGGCAGAATCATACCAGCAGCAGACACGCTAACGGCCACACGCCAGTTGCTGACTAGGAAGCGAAGGTTGGTTTCCAGCCCAACAAGGAATAGAAACAGCACCAGCCCCAGATTCGCGACCAGATTCAGGTTCGGAATAGACGCGGTCGGAAATATGGCATCGGTGAAGCCGGGAATACGTCCCATTACCGACGGACCCAGTATGACGCCAGCAATGACCTCTGCGATCACGCGCGGCTGGCGGATCTTGGAGAGCGGCCAGTGCAGCAGGCGGCAGAAGATGATGATTATACCGGCCTGGTGGGGTTAGCTGTGAGAAATTCAGAAGACTTGATTTTGAATAGCCACCTGAATGATGAAGATGACGATGGGATTAGACGAGTCATAGTGGGCCGGATTGCTGCCTTCGAGGATGCCTCCTTGAGCCTTGACTTTGGTGGTAGAGTTGGAGGACATGATGTCAGCCCGTAGGCTACAGGAAGGTCTACAGAGGGTATACGCAGAGCACAGTAAGGGATAAAGTGGCAGCACGGCGGAAGATTAGAAATGAAGGGGTGAAAAAGGAAGGAAGACAAAGACAGATGGAGAGGGGGGATGCGGTGGAGGCCCCAGTTTTTCTGGATCGGGGCTTTGCGGGTCCACGTGGCTGGCATGAATCCGGGGTTGAATACGAGAACTCACCACTTCTTTGACTCAATGCCAACCAGCCACCGACCATCTAGACCGCCAGTCATCCTTCAGTGGCGCGGCACAGTCCAGCATTCCCCTGGCCGTCAATAAAGGAAAATAGCAACTGTGCGAGCAGGGAATCCAATCCGTTGGTTGGCCCGAGCACAGTCTGGTCCGTGCTTGGCGGCAATCGCCCGGGTCGCTTAGGGTTGACGATGACAGCCGAACATTATTTCCGATTCCGTCCAGTATTCTAGACTCTATTTATCAATAGTATGAGACAAGGAGTGTCAAGGACTGAGTAAGTGGTTTCAAATTAGCATCCAATGTAATTATATGGAATATTAGCTGGGAGTATCTGATCGAATAAGCTGGTTCTAACGACACATCGTCTAATTTAAATTATTCCGTGGTACCTACTAACTAATGACATCTAGACAAACCACTACAGCCAACCTAAAGTTCCTGCTGCGCTTAGCAAAGACCCCGAGCCATCCCAGATTGGCACCTGCACCGCTTTTGCATTCATGCTGAAGGACACCGGACTCAGCTGAAGTGTGAATAGCGATCTACCGATCTACACGATATCTGAAGTAGTCATCGATGCGGGTTTTCGACTTCCTATGCTCGAGAGTCGATATCTTGCCATCGCACTTGGTCCCGTAGGTTGCGACGATTTCTAAATCCTTTAGCCATCTGTCCTTTAGGTCGATAAAGCAGTTCCACTCAATCCACCGGTTTTATAAGCTTTGAAGAATCGGCCATTTCTCTGAAACACCACGCCTAACGTCCCTTGCTGACCGAAACTTGAGATAACTATTTGGTTACATATCTACCTCTTATGTCTTGGTCTGTTTTAGGACCACCTATATCAATAGGCGCCTTCTGCAAGCTAACCGCAGTAATGATTATTCTTACATTATTGATAAGCTAAACATAATTTTCTGCATCCCATGGACAGAATGTCCCCTTGACAAGGAGGTCATCAGTGACTACCTGATAGCCACCCAAAGCGGATGGTGTGGCTGGTACGGTCCCCCGTCGTTTCGACATAATTGAGATAGAGCCAAGGTTCCCCCCAAAGGTCATAGACGATGGTAAAAAGGCACAAGGGGTTCTGGGTTCATCATGTGCCTTCTTTCCAAAGGGTTTTGCTACTCCGTTCACCGGTTCTTCTGGGGCCCCAGAACACCTTAAATGGTGCTCAAAGTTCGCCGCGCGCGTTTTCGGGCATTTTATCCAGGGATTAAGAGTAGATATAACAGCCTCATTTGGGTTCAACAATCGGGTTACAATATAGCGGTCATAATACCGGACTTTGGCTGCGTGCCTGGCAGGTTTTAACGGGGTGTTAATCAATGACCAACAACATATCCCTTTTCCAAGATCTGGGGTATTCTCAGTAGGCATAGATTCTTGTCGGTATCAGTGTATCAGAGCCGTACTCTGAAATGAACATAATAGGGTTTGAGCCTTTGATGTTAGAAAGCGATGGTTCGTAAAGCAGAAACATGTTTTGATTTATTCACCACGTATCACCAAAGATGGACTGATTAGAAGGTTGGCATAGAATTGGGACATTGTCATCAATAAATCTCGCCATACTGTCGTCACTACAGACCTTGACCATCTGATTTGTAACCCTTTCTACTGTGGGTATAGACCTAGACAAGCTTGTTCATCTTGCCGAACATGGTCTTCTCTTATGAGGCATATTCAGGCCAGCATGTGAACTATTGCTACCTTCAAAGCTATGTGCACTATAATCCCGAAAGGGAAGACGATACAGGAGGAGGAATGTGGAGATAGGGGAAAAGGAAGGGGTTGCAAGCATCGATTTGGGCGAGCTTATATAGACATTATTTAAGAGTGTAACAGGGCATTCATTGCCCACACACTCTCCTGTGTCACATTCAATAGTCATCCAATGTAGTGTCTAGCTGATACCTTCACTGCTAGTCTCACCGACCACCACCATGCATGATGCTAGTGACACGAGCTACGCAATAAATATGGGTCCCTTGCCACACAACAGGGCAGCACCAAAAATCAGCGTAGGACAGTATAGTAACAGAGCCGAATATCAAACTAGGGATTCGGGCGTGGAATACGAAAATCATTCCAACGATAGCAAACAACACCAATTGGCAGATCGAATATGCTGTGTCCCGTCCTGCGTTCACTAATAACTTTCTACACCAATGATCCTCAATGCTTATCATTAGCTGTGTCCACTATCCACAATGACTCCACCTCACCATCGAAAACCTCGGCTGGCTCGACGCCACGACCAGCCTAACAACTAGCTGCATGATCCCACCGTGTCAGAATATAAACCAGATGTCAATCTCCTAATCCCGCACTTCCTCATCTTATCAATATCCCAACCCACCATGAGTATTGTAATCGCGGTCGCATTTGCCTGCCTTGCCCTCCTATCCCTCTACCTCTTTGTCTATCAACAATCCCCCTCCCTCTCCCTTCCCCCTGGACCCAAGGGCAAGCCTGTCGTCGGGAATCTATCCGACCTGCCACCTCCGGATACCCCAGAATGGCAACACTGGATGAAACACAAAGAGCGTTACGGTAACCACCTCCCCGTCACAGCCACCTCCACCACCATCATCAAGCCCTAACCAACCCCCAACAGGTCCAATAACCTCCGTGACCATTCTCGGCCAACCCATCATCATCCTTCACGATGCGCACATAACCACTGAACTTCTCGAAAAACACTCCCTCAAATACTCTTCCCGACCAAGATCAGTCTTCCTCGGTGAAATGTAAGCCCCAACCCCCCCGCCCCCAAGCTACCCTTCCATACCCTAACAACCCCTAACATAAAATGAACAGGATAGGATGGAACGACACCCTCGCCATGCAACCCTACAATACACGCTTCCGCTTATACCGTAAAGCCCTGCACCAGATCCTAGGAACCAAGACCCTAGTATCGAAGTTCAATTCACTACAGGAACTCGAAGCGAGACGGCTGTTACGTCGTATGTTGGATGATCCGGGGGAGTGGGTGCAGCATTTGAAGACGTATATCCCCAATTTCCTTTTCTTTCACGTTAACATCAAAAAGGGACTACTGAATAATGTGTGTGTAGGGAAGCTGGCGCCATCATCCTCAAAATCGCGTACGGGTACGACATCAACCCGCACGGGAGGGACCATTTAGTCGATTTGGCGGACGACTCAATGGAGACATTCTCAGCAGTGCTGAGTCAGACGTGGATGGTGGATTTGGTTCCTGGTTGTATGTAGTATCCCCCATATTCCCCTGTTGGTGATACTAACAAAGATGGACAGTGAAATACCTCCCCTCCTGGCTCCCCTTCTCTTTCCATAAAAAGGCCCAGTCCTGGCAGACCCAGCTCCTCACCACCATCGAGACGCCGTACCGGATGGTACGGGAGCAGATGGAATCCGGAATAGCGCCTCCATCTTACTTGCGCAACCTCCTGGATACTAAGAAGGAAAAGTCCCTCTCAGCGGAGGAAAAATTCACAGCCAAGTGGACAGCGGGGTCACTGTACTTAGCTGGGGCTGATACAGTAAGATCCCTTATCCCATCCGAATCCCATCTTTATCCCCTAGGTAACTAAATAGGGTATAGACAGTATCAACCCTCACCACCTTCATCCTCAGCATGGCCCTAAACCCCCACATACAAACCAAAGCGCAAGCTGAACTCGACACCGTCCTAGGCCCTTACACCCTCCCTAAACTCTCCGACAGAGAGAAACTACCCTACATCAACGCCATCGTGAAAGAATCCCTTCGTTGGTATCCGGTTGCTCCGATGGGATTACCGCATCTGTGTGTGGAGGGGGATGTGTATAATGGGTATTCCATCCCCAAAGGGGCGGTGGTAATGGGGAATATATGGTACATCCCTTCTTCTTCTTCTTCCTTTCCTTTCTTATTGTTTTAGTGTAATCTGGATATTAACTGGTGCTGTGAAGGGCCATAACCCACGATCCAAACATCTACCCCCATCCCGAGAAATTCGATCCGGAGAGGTTCCTAGGTGAGAACCCCCAGCCTGATCCGTCAGGATGGGTGTTTGGGTTCGGGAGGAGAGTGTGTCCCGGACGGGTGTTGGCGGATGCGAGTGTTTTTGTGTCGGTTGGGATGGTATTAAGTGCTTTGAGGATTTCGCTGGAGGGTGAGGGGGGAGAGGTGAGGTTTACGCCTGGGGTGGTCAGTCATCCTGTTCTGGATGGGGTGAGGGTGCAAGCGAGGAGTCAGAGGCATGAGGGGGTTATTAGGGAGGTTTAGTTTTCGTGCATAGTATATCTTTTGGTGGTTATGATATTATTATTTGTTCGTATCATGGTCTATAGTTGATACCAATCGAAAGGAAAGTCTCAGCTGTACTAAAACTATACCATAAATCAATTAGTACTATAAGATGGTAATGCGGGGAAAGAATGAGAATGGTATGGGTGTGGAGAATGGGGATCAAAGCAAACCACCCGGATTGGTGCCAAGTATTCAGACTAGCGAGTCAGTTACACAGTGTTATAAACATTCCACTAGTAGGTTATCTGATCATACCCAAAATAAACCTGAGTTAACAAACTAAATCTATCGCAGAGATTTACCTAACCTCATAACAAAAACCACAAATATGTCCCATTACAGTATGTCCAGTCATCAGTATCATAAAGATCATCAAACATCCCAAAATAGCAGCTACTACGCAGTAGCAGCAACATCCGTCTCATTTGATCCAGCCACAACATACATCTTCTCCGTCTTCAACCGATCCAGCGCGCTCTGCGGCAGGTTCAGCGTATCCGAGACGATCTGCTTCGGCGTGGAGCCGATCCACTGGCCCAATGAGATGTCTGCATGTTCCATCAGTACTGACATTCTCAATTCTTCACGATGGAGGGAAAGGGTATGATGACTTACCGCTGAATTGATCCGTCTGCAACACCTCCAAGAACACCAGATCCTCATCTCCCGTGTTCTCAATATAATGGCTGTTGCTCTGCGGGAAGTATCCTACATCACCCGGGCGGTAATCGAACGTCGTGGCGGTGCTGGGCGCCGTGAACAGGGTCGCGCGTGCCTTGCCACTGATGAAGAACGTCCATTCGTCGCTGCTCGGGTGCCAGTGGATTTCGCGCATGCCACCTGGGTGCACTGTCACCAGCGCGGCGGCCGTGTTGGTGGAGATGGGGAAGGTGAGGGAGTCGACGATCTTGACAGATCCGCCTTGCACTTCGTGCGCGGGCTGCTCGGAGAAGTGGTACGAGTAGCTTTGAGACTTGGGCAAGACGCCTGCAGAGCCAGTTACATTTTGCTCCTCGATATTCTGCGGTGCCGGAGTGCCGGGGAAGATATAAAGTTCATCTTCGGGAATGTCGTCAAAAGCGGCAACGGGGAGGTCGAAATTTTTGGCGAGGACCTCGCGCTATAGTATTGTTAAGTCAAGCTCATACATAAATTTGGGTAAATCAAGTGAGGGGTACCGGTTGATGGGCAAACACTTCAGTGGCGAGGAAAGTATTATCCTCAGAGAAGGAACCGTCATCGAAGATGAGGAGAAACTCGACGCCCGAGTCTAGGGCTTGGATGGAATGCGGAACACCGCTGTAAGGAGTGAGTCAACCGACCATCCCCATCAATGCACCCCCATGAAAGGGGACAATGATTTGGAATTGGGGCGATAAACTTACGGAGGGAAGAACCAGACATCACCAGCGCTCACGTCATCGACGAAAGTTTGTCCGTTCTCGTTGACGGCCTGAATGATAAGAATTAGCTTTGGCAAACAAACTGGTTTGTCACGATCCTCTCTCTGCATACCTCGATCCGACACGATCCGTTCAACACCAACGACCATTCCGATGCCACATGCCAATGCAGCTCCCGATAAGCACCTGCTTCTAGGCGCATATCCACTCCAGCCATCTCGGTCGCGCCCGGCATCACCACCTCGTTCTCTTGCCGAGCCCATCCAGACTCATTCAGTCCCAGTCTTCACTCCAATTAGTATAGAGCACAACATGCATTGCAGCAAGGGCAGGTCGGCTTACCGATTATGGCTTAGTCCTATCCCCCATTGTTAGCCATTGTTCTTGTCTCATTAAAGTTTTTCTACCGAAAAAGCAAATAAAGGGGCTAAACGATAAAAAGCAAAGAAAAAAAAGGCAAGACAGATAAACTCACCCATAGGCCATTGGGCATTGATCGTCTGGCCATTGTCCGTACCCGGAGGAGCCAGCTTATCGCTATTGATCCGATCGTAGTAGTCGTTGCCTATTTGTCCGGTGAGATGAGATCATTTGCAGATCAACCAAACGCCTGGTCTGGTTCCATGGATCGACACTACATACGAGGGCCAGGGTCAGTTCCTCCCGTGCTTCCGCGGACCGGTTGCGGGTTCTCGACATCTTCAAAGTCCAGGTACACGCCGAGGTCAGCGGTATCTGTCTGTCCTGGCACAGGCACATAGGGAATATCATCGGTGGACTGGTCCGTCACGGTGTTGGAGGCCGAGTAACCCAGCAAGTTCTCGGAGCCTCGTAGGGGAGGGTTCGACTTCGTCCCTGTAGGAGCGCCATGAACAGCTACCGTGATGATGGATGTGATGACCCAAGGTAGAGAAGAGTAAAGAGTAGATGGCTTCATAATGAAATAAACTCAAAATGAATAGGAAGGAGTCTTTGTTATATGATGATTGCGGCTTCGTTTTGTCTTGCTTGTTGGCTGAATTGCTTTCTTTGGAAGGTATCCTTGCTTGATGAATTGAAGTCTGATTGTGAAACAAGAATCCGGCTCCGTACCTGGTCTTTATAACTTTTTTGGTCTCGGCCAACAGACCCAAAGAGGCCACGGGCTACACGGCCGGCCACGGAAGCGGGCTTTTCGCCCTGATCGATCGATGCCCATCCGCGCGCAGACAGACGGACAGCAGACATCAGACAGCAGTCAAAGCAAGCAAGCAAGCACGCCGAGGGAACCAGCCCACGCTCCACTCCGCGGATTGTGGATAGTCAGATGTAGTGTTTTGTCCACGCCCCCTCACGCATAGCCGAGCCATGACGGCAAGCTTTAGCTTTTTCCCCTCATGCACCGAGCGGATCTGGATAAAGTCAATCCAGTATCAGGCTCACTGGAATTGGAGAAGACGAGTCAGCAAAGAGAAATGGGGCTGCTACGCGGGTCATGAGGATAGCCCCATAGGGTTGGTGAGAAGCCAAAGGAGAAGCCAGCTGGCACGCACCGCCCAAAAAGGTGGCACGGGAAACGGCGATTGCATGCGGGGCTGGGTTGATTGGAACAGCGCAAAAAAAGCAATCGAAGAAGAAGAGCGAAGGCAGCAGCAAGCTGGACGAGGGTATATCCGGTGATGGTGGTGGTGCAGTTGTTCGTTTCTGTCCAATATTGATGAACGGACCGGACGGGCTGGAAATGAAGGCCAGGCTAGCGTTGAAAGTGGCTCCACGGTAGGGGAAGGTACCTTGCTAGGGATGGGACATTCGATGGGGGTTTGGTCTGTGGTTGGCTGCCTTTTTGCATCTTGCAGTTGCAGATTTCTGCGAGTGCTGAGTTTTGTTTTGTTTTTGTTTTGTGTTTTATTTTGGTTTCTTTTTTCTTAAATCCCCGGGTAGATATTGACTTTGGTGACAGCAGTCAACTGCGAAGATGTGGGTATACGGTTCTTTTTTTAATCATGATGGATAGGCAGAACCGATACTCGGGTCTCGTATGGAGGAAGATTCCATAGAATCAAAGTTTTTTTGCTTGATCGCTTAGTTCACCGACGCACAGCCTTAATGAAGATGATGCTGGGAATGGATGGCAGTGGCGGTGCCCCGCGTGCGGAGAATTTCTTGGTCCAATGCTTGATTGTCAAAGTGCATCCGTGCTGCATGGAAGGACACGTCGATGGCGTCTGGGATTCCTTGTTTTGGGTGAGCGGCCTGCACCATCTTGGTTGATTTGATTTTGGGCTATGCTGGGATTTCCGATTGCTGGGATTTTTCCATCTTAGGGTGTGGTGGTGGGTGTTTTTTTGCTTGGGGACCCCCGGATCGTCATCCTCAATCATTTAATCAATTAATTAATCTCAGGTCTAGTTTCAATTCATATATTTCCCTCATATGTGCCCCGCACTAAACAAGTCAGTTGCTGCAAGAATTCCAGGGGGGGGGG